TAATAAAATGCTTTTTGAAAATAAGCATCACAATGCTTTTATATTTAACATTTAATTTTCTACTCTAAATTCTGAGTCTTGAAATTACTTGTCTGTGAAGTGTATTGCTGCTGAAAGCTAGAAGGCTGATTACAGCCTTCCCAGTCACAGAAGTTCCCACCTGGCAGTTATGCCAGTGAGACATTGAATTGCTGTGCTTCTCCTGAGACTCAGAGCTGCCCATCCTATCTGCACGCTCCTGAGGGCTTACTACTGGCATTGTCAGAGCCCTTCTCCACCTTCTCTGGGCAGGCACCACATTGCATCCCAGCACTGAGAGGGACATTCCAGTATGGCTGCTCCATTTGTCACACAGCCTGATTCCCTGGGATATTTCATGGCCTCAAAGTGAGTTGTGTGTCTTCCTTTGCAATGTACCAGTTCTCTGGAGTTTTTGGTTGCAGTAATCTAGAATGCTGCTTCTAAATCTGTTGCTGGGGTAGACTAGGCAACTGTGGCAGGTGGCTTATCACATAGATATCAGTGCCATGTAGCTGCTTGAAATTAAAAAAGCAAACAATTACTGTATTTCGGTATGCAGATGTGAACTTTTTGTTATTGGTTCTTGTGATTTTTTTCTTTCTATAGTACAATTCCAAAAGAGTATTTGTTTCCCAAAGGAGTGTGCTTGTTTAAAATGTGAACTGTGATGTTTGGATAATTACTACCAGATTGGGCAATGTTAGCTTATTTAGACACACATACTCAAAACCCATTTTCTGCCTTGATTTGCTTTTTTATATTGAGTAACTGTTGAAGGACTTGCAGCTCTTAACATGGAGGAAAAATTTGCAAAAGGTGATTAGGACTTTTTGACCAGGCACAGCCTATCTGTCACTCTCAAAGCTTTGATTTGCAGGCAGAGCATGGGGCTCCCACACCATCACCACCTCACCTGGCCAGGAGCAGGAGTGTGCTGAGAAACCTGGAATGGTTAGTCTGGCTAGTTGCACATCCTCTTAAGGAAATAGAAAGTTGCCACTTTGCTGCAAAACTTTATGCTCTTGTATTTGTGGTCTGCAAAGTTGCTGTGGCATACTTGAGGAATGCCTACCTATTCCAGCTTGAGAACTACTTAGAACCTGTTGTCTGGGAGGTAACTTGTGTCTTTCTTACATGAAGATTTGGTATAGGTATGTAGCCAGGAAGGCTGTTTGTTTGTGTGCTTGGTACAAATATCTCTCTTGCTTATTCTGGAATGTGGATTTTTGTAGAGCTTCTGAGAGCAATGAAAACTGTTAAGACAGTGATATACCCTTATCCTTGTTTGTATCTAAAATGACCCTAGGCTGGTCTGTTTGAATCTCAAGCTGTAGCAAAAACAGCTAGTTGCCAGGAAAAATACTCTTAAGCCTGTAATTGGGCTGCATAACTGCCAACAAAACAAACACGAATGACAAACTTCATCATTTATTCCGTTCCTGACTTGGTAGTTTTTGTTATCTTGAAGCTGTTGTGTTCTTTAACCTTCTACCTTGGGCCTCACCTTCCCAAGTGTCTTTGCTGTGGGGCATATGTCTTCCTGAACTTATCAAATTTTCAAAACGTGAAGGATTTTTTAACTGGCTAATCTTTCTCAGAACAAGAAATGTCCAAGTCTCCCTTGTTATGCTGAGAACTTTTTTGTAGCATTCAATGCAGAGGTGCACCACTCTGATATTGCCTGTGGCAAATCTTTTATCCCTAAACTCTATTTTCATTCTTTCCTCTAGCTTCCATGTTTATGGCAGGGAGGATGTTTTGGTTAAATGCAGCCTTTGTAAAAAAGGAAAAAATAGGTACCAAATAATCTACCTGATTTTCACATAAATTTATAAATTGTACCAGAAGAAATTGTAAAGGGGTATGAAGATCCTTCACAGGTCTCTTAAGAACTAAATGAGGATGATCCTTATTGCTGAATTTATCTGGATAACAATACCAAAACTGCTCAATCCTATATGCTCCAACTTGGTTCTGCTCTTCTGATTTCTGCTATCGATTTTTCAACTATAATCTTGTTAAGCATAAATTAGAAGGTTGCTGGATATTCCAGCCCAAAGCATATGCATATCTGTCTCTAAATTAAATACTGAAGATAGGCCTTTACTGGATTATTCAAGTGCTTTTGGTATTTTACTGCATTTAGATTTCAGATTTTGGAAACTTCAGTTTTCTTGGGGAATCTCCATACCTGCCACTTCAGTTGTCTCTTAGATAAAAGTGTACTAAGTTAACTGCTAGTCAGCCTGACTACTTTAGGGGACTGCTTAACCACGTGAGGAACTTAGTCTTCTATTTTAGGCTGGCAGTTTTTTTGTGAATGTATTTGTGAGCAGTAGGTGGTAATACAATTCCATCTCAATTTCTTGGATTTGTTAAACTATGAATAGGAAGCTGAACTGAGGCGACAGGTTAAACAACACCAGTAAAAAGCAACAGGGCTTAGGAGCCGCAAGAAACATGAAAAAGATTACTAGGGCACTATCTTGATTTTGTTTTGGATTTTTAGTCTTAGCCTCTTGTTATTCCTTAGGGTGTGCTGATCATACATCCCCTTTTCTCATCAAATTTCTTTAACTGAAAGCAAATACAAAATGTGTAGACCGTGAAGAAGCACTGGAAACACTGAACAAAAATGTTAGCATGTTCAAAGGGTCTGCAGCATGGTACAGCCACTAGGGAGAATTTGAGATATTTTACTGACAGAGTGAGCTGAAAGAAAGCAGGTTGTGTCCCAGTGTGCAAGGATGCAGCTCAACTCACTGCAGCATTCCCATTTTCATCAGCAGATGCTGTGTCCATAGTGGGAGCACTGGCGTTGAACTGGAGTGAGATGACTCATCTCTCCTTTCTGGGCACAGAAGCGGGGAAGAGCAGGGCAAGTCCTTTCAATAACTGAGCTCTTTGCTCTCCTGAGAATTTACTGTGGAGGGTGAGGCGTGGTTTTCAATCTTAGCCCACTGACACTGTAAAAAGCCTCTAAGTGCTTAATATAAAACTGCAACACAGCTGCTTAATAGCCCTACCAAAGTATAAAGTGTCCAAAAAATTGTTAAGGCTGCTTAAATTTAATGATTAAAAGATAATCTTTCTCATACAACGTCAAAAATATAAATATTTCTAATAAAGGGTTGGCAGTTTCTTCTAACCAGCTTTTACAGCTGCGTAATAATTTCCTAAAACTTGCAAATGAGTGTGCAGCATAAAAATTACTCATTTTGATTAGTCTTGTGTCAGACCTTAATACATGACTGGGTTTTGGGTGCCCATTCTTTCTAGTTTCTCATAAGAATGGTGTCTTTTACTGCTTTATTTGTTCTGCAGGCATGCAGTGAGTATTCCCTGCCTCCAGGACAGGGTGCTCTTAGGATACAAGCCTGCGATCAGGATGCAGTGAGAGTGACCAAGGGCAAAGGGGGAATTTGCTGTAGAGGTGACGTTTTCCTTGGGGAGAACCAGCTGTAGGTGCGGCTCCACCAGTCTGCAAATTCACTTACTGTGCTCAGTTGTGGACAAGTCTGCGTGATTTTTGTGCCAGTGATTTTTTTTTTTTTTTTTTTTTTTTTCTTTTCCCTAATGTATCCTCGCTAAAGGAAAAGCATGCAAAGTGAGTTTCAAGCTGTTTGCATGCACCGGGGCGGTTGAACATAAGCCTGAACATTGACAGCAGCAAAGCTGCTGTATCTGTGGCTCTCCCATTCAGCTTAGGCCTCCTGTGGCTTATTTTTGCATCAACAAATTAAGCGTGAAAGCAGCGTACAGCAAGCTCGAAACAGCTAAAAATAAGCTCGGTTATCCGCAGAGAAGGGCAGTGATTCACTCAGTGATCCTGGCTGCCGTCGGAGCAAGTGGAGATCGATCGATCTAATGTCTGGGCTCGCCTTTCATAAAAGAAGGGCTGTGGCTTTAAGTAATCGCTGGCTGCTTGTGCCAATTGCAGAAGCTGCAGTATCTGCCGCTGTCGGGAGCGCTGGGCGCGGAGGCAGGATAACCTGCGGAGGCAAGGTCCAGCCTTGACGCTCGGCCCCGGCCAGACCTGCCCGGCTCGGTGGTGCCGCCGCCACCCGCGCGTCGCTGATGAGGGCCGGGGGGCCGAGCGAGGGGCTGCCGGCGCTGGAAGATGGGCTGCTCCAGCAGCAAGCTGTGCCTGTATTCTCAGTGTGCTGCAGCAAGGGTAATGAGTGCTTGTTTCGCAGGGAGCCGGCCGGGAGCACGGTGAAGCGCGCTGCCAGGCGGGCGGTGTGAGGTGCTGAGCTCCGTGCCACCGAGCAGCTCTGCTGGGGCCGTGGCCGTGGCTGTGGCCGTGGCTGTGGCTGTGCCCTCCCCGGCTGCGGGTCTGGGGCACAGAGGCCCGGCCGGCAGCCTCCTCCTGGCCAGGGCACAGCTCCTGGGGAAAGCAGGGAGATGGGTGCTTCTGCTTTGTTATCATCTGTTCACACATTCCTTATGATTCTCTCGGTATAAGAAACACCATCTATCTTAACATTAAGAGCTGCGAGCAGCAGGGTGGATTGTATTCAACTTTGAACAGGGCTGTGCCTTTTCTTCATGGAAGAATGAGCATTTAGCAAAGTTCTTGGTTTTGTGTTTGAGTAAGCTTAAGATAAATATTTAATGCATGCCTCTTTCACATATACACTATACTTCTGTGCCCTTGACAGCTATCACTTGATTTGTTCTGGAGGCTTATGTTGCTACGCCCACCATAAAATATATAATTAATTGCTTCAAAGTAGGATTTTAATTGCACAGCTACCCTGGAAAAAGCTGTCCTTTGTTTTAAAGTATAACTTCCTTAACAACAGAACATCTGTGTATATTGTAACAGCTGAACTGTTATCCTAAATGAGTCATATCTTGGCTTCTTGCTCCTGCCTCTTGTTTTTCCTGCGGAACACATGTAAGCTAATTATTGGAAGGTGCCCTGCTCAGACCAATACTAACTAAACGTTTGGGGCTTTTTGTTCTTTTCTCTGCAGAGGGAGGAAGTGTTGAAGCAGCGGAAAGAGTTATCTCAAGAACTAGTTAATCTTCGAGGAGAACTAGGTAAGAATTTATTTTTGTATTCTTCTTGAGAACAGAAATGCAACAAAGCAGATCTGCAGAAGACAGATGCCCTGGTATTGTAATGGCAGTCATTTAATTCCCTGACTGAATTCCGCTCAGATGCTTTAAGTGCTGCAGAGCCCTGACAGCGTGACCTCAGGTTCACTGAATTCCTGGCACTGATCTGACTGCGCCTTGCAGGGCCTCCTTACAAAACATGCGGCTGATGACCAAAGCACTCACTCCTAAAAAATGGGAGGATGGCTGACAGCATATATACTTTTGTTTGATCCCTAACTTGTTTGTGTGCTCTCTTGCAGAGATTTGCTGGCAAAAAATTAATAAATCCGTAAAACATACTGTGTAAAATCTGCATTTTTGCCTTAGTGACCTGTAGGTGAATGAGTGTAAAATTAACAGAAGGAAATGCTTCCAGGCTGATGAGATTATGAGATTAAATCTTTGAACTCATCCTAGTGGACAGCTATTACATGAAATTGAGCTATAATGTGCAGGGGCTGGTTTTGCCAACTTTGAAGCTTGATTTAACTGCATTTAGTGGTAACTCCATGTAATGTATTTGACCTTAGCAGTTGTTCCAGGCAGGTCTCAGTAGGGGCTGGCTTTGAAAGAGCCTGGTCTTCCCCTGCCTTTACATCTCGTCGTCCTCCTTGTGCCAGCATTGCTGCTGGGGCAGCCGTGTCCCCACCGATGAAGTGAGCTGCCTGGGGACCTAAGCCAGCTGAAACTATTGGCTGGTAGTGCTGTTTTGCCAAAGCCGCCTGGCCTGACATCAGTATGTGACTGAAGGAGCACTGGGACTGGAGCAGAGAAAGGAGAAGGAGTAGCAGGGTGCAGGGTTGTGTTCCCCATCAGCTAATGCTTCTATTACCTTAAAAATGACAACAGGACTTGAGTTTTAATGTGGAAATGGCCTTCTTGCATCACTAAAACGTTGTGTTATAAACTTGATAAACAGTTTTCTTTTTATTTATGTACTTAATGTGATTCTCTGAGCAACCTCACTTGTTTACCTCAAGAAAATATCTTCAGAAGAATTGCTAAAGATTGCAGAGCAAGAAGGTCTCTTTCCTTCTCTAGGCTTGCATCTTCAATATTATTTTTCCTTTATCAACCTAGGTACTATGTTTACCGCTTACCTAGAAAGGGAAAATTCTGCTTAAATGGGTAGACGAAAAGCTGGCCAACACTTTGGCCCATTACCACATTTGAGGGTTTTGGTGGAGTTTGGGTTTTTTTGAAAGCTTAGTTCTTTGTAAGGATGACTCATGCTTAAATGAGTTTTCCATAAACTTGTTATCTTTCTGCTTTGATTAGCAGCCTGCTGAGCTCATAAATGAGACTCCCATTGCAAGCCATTCAGTAGGCTGATAACTAGAAAAAAACTTTAAATGCAACTGTGCCTGATGGATCTGTGACACCCGAGTGCACAGAGCTCTCAGACAGGGATGCTGGTGGATGACGTCGCCAGCTGTTCCCCTCACGGAGCTGACCTTCCTGGGTCACTTCTGCAGGAGCATCTGAATGGCAGCCTGGGGCTCACCTCCCTTTGTAAGGTTTCCAGACCATGGTTTCATGAAGCATTTATGCAGCTCCTTTGTCTTAACCATGTCGCATGTCTAGCCTGTCTGTACTGCTCTCCTCAGCATGTAAAATTACAGAAATGAAAAACTATCCAGATCTTCAATTCTATCTAGCTTTAAAAAGAACTGCTTTGGGGTTTTTTTTTAAAGTTAAATTAATAATTTGTTGACAAGTGTGAGAAAGGCATTCTTATAACAGTAGCTTTAGCTGAAAATAATCTGCTTAAATACATACCTGCTAATCAGCTTTCTGTTGACACTGTTAAGTGGATACAGCTGAACTTAAGATTTCCATAGACTGTTTTGACGTAAGTACTGTGAATTTTTATCCACAGTATGGTCCAAGCATAGGTTTGCTGGGAAAGTTAAGTGCAGTTTGAATCTTACTTGGCCATGTTGATGTTTTGTGGAGTCTCAGCTGCCATGTTTTTAATGACTGTTGGTTTGGGGAGAAGCAGTCTCAGAAGAGGAACGAGGTGTGCCCAGCCCAGTGTAGCCTGTTCCCTGCATGCTGCTGAGTTTGAGAGGAACATGAAGTCTCCTGCAGCTTATATCCTGCACAGTTTCGACTTCTCGGTGTCTTGCTTTGAAAGTTTAACTGTGTACATTCCCGACCTCCTTGATTTCCCTTGCAAGACCAAATGGGCTTGCTGTCAGATGGTCTGTTTTGATGGGTTATTGTGTATGACCCTTTCTACCAAAATACCTTTTGTTTAATGGCTTGATATGCATTCTGGTCCCAGAATGTGACTGTGCCAGTCATGGGGCTGACAGTTAACAGGCAATGCTTTCTGCTCTCCGTAGCTAGAAACATGTGCAAGGATTAGCAGTGATAGTGTTTGGGCATGGGTTTTTCCAAAGGGAGTTCAAATTCAGTAACAGTTGCATTCTGAACTTGGGCTTCCTTAAAATCTCCAGCTACAAAGACTAAACTTGTGGTTTGAATGTAACCACCATAGTTCTAGGAGCCTGGAGCAGCTAGGGATGTCTTGCTTGTCAGCTGTTTCTCTCCTTAAGATGCCAGCTAGTGCATGAACTTCTACTTACTTGTTTAATTATGTAAGTAAAAATTGCAAGGACTGCATATTTCTTGAGAGGTGTAAAACTATTCCTCTAAATTAACTGCACTCCAAATTGTTTCAGAGCCTCCTCCTAACCATGCTGGATGTGATCCAGCTCAGTCCTGCTACAAAACAGCAGGTGCAAAGCAGACACAGCTTGCTCCTAGCTTGGCCCTTTGAACATTGCCATTGATGAACCTTTCTCCATGGCCTGGAGAGGCCTGTGTCTACCCTGGACAGGCAGCCAGTGCCAAACCACTCTCTCTCGCCTCCAGCTGCTGCACGGCAATCGATAAACTGTATTTCCTTCAGAAAACCTTCATGTTCTTTTTTTATTAATCAATTATCTTCAAGATGCTTTGGAAGTTCATATAGAAGAGACTGTTGTGTTTTACAGTGAATGTGATTCCGTTTTCAGGTTAAGGTGATCTTTAAAAATACTTTAATAATAGGTAGATGTTTCTTTCACTTATTTGAGACAGGGCCTGACTTGCCAGACTTCATAGACTTGCCTGTTTGCCTGCTTGAACATTCTGTCACTTGTAGTGTTTGCAGCATAGGGGATGTGAATTTACTTCTCGGCAGAGAAGTCAGTGCTTCACGTTATTTATTCAATCATGCTTGCTGAAATACTGCTTAAAGCAGGCTTTTTTGGCTACCTGCCTTGTCTAACTTGCCCAAGAACAAAAATATGCAATGTGGTTTAATGTCCTGTATAGTTAGTCTCTTTATGGAAGTAACACCAAGAGAAACCTGGTCATAAACTTGAAAGCATGTTTAAGTAGAAGAATTTTCGATATTGAGAATCTGCCAATACCATGAATTAATTACTATATACATATAAAAATATATATTGTCTAGAGAAGGAAGTGAGCTTGTCTATAGCAGACTTACTGGTCAAGTGAACATACAGCTTGCAGTTTGAAATACAAGGTTTGAGCAATTAAGTGTTAGTGCAGTGTAACATCATGTAGTACTAAATACTTGGGCTTTTTTGTGGTAATTATCCCCAGTTCACATCTCCCACATCTATTAAAATTCTGACAGTTTACTGTCCCAGTGAACTCTGGATTTAGAATTTCAGGCAGTCTAATCCCTTTTCATAAATCATAACTAGGCCAGTGAGTGACTTGGACAATTCTATGAAGATAACTACTGTTTGCAAACAATTTAATTCAGGGTTAAAAAAATCCATTGTATTTTATCTTAGACCTATGGTTATTGTAGCTTTTAGTGGAATAGAAGTTGAAAAATGTTTAATCTGAGCAGTTTAGCCATAAGGGCAGAATTGGATGATTTTAATTAGAACAAGATTAAAAAGATGAAAGGAGATGCTGCACAATTGTAAGGTCTTACCTCTTGGCTACTTTGAGTGAAAATACAAAATAGCTTTCGTGGAGATAGAAAGGCAACTTTTGTATTCGTCTCCTTCAGCTGCAGCAACTGTTGCTGAGGTTTATTTTTTTTTTGTTTTTTTTTTTTTTTTCCCTCAAGGTTTGTGGTCGAAAGATGTGGAATTGTGGAGGAAAGCCCTTTATAAAAAGGGAAAGGAAACACAGTAGTAGTGTACAAAACCTCTGAAGTATGCACTTCTGGTATCTCTGAAGTGGATGAGAAGTTGAAATAGATTGGTGTGTTTAGCATGAGTTTAGTGAGAATACTCTTCAGTTCAGCAGCAATCAAGTTTGGCTAATCAGTGGCTAAATGGCCAAATTAAGGAATTTGGGACAAATAATGAAAAAGGCAACTTTATTTAAAAAGGGCAGAGCAGTCATAAAATACATGATGCAGTCTGCAGATGGGCTGTACAGAATACTTGCTGCAGACATTTTAATCTCGAGTATTCAGGCAAGTTTTGGTTTAATGGGACATCTCTAATTTCAAATTAACAATTCTTTAGTTGGTGTTTTTGCTGAAGCATTATCTGGTCAGTTCCTTGCACCATCATATACTGGGAGCTCACTGGTTGTGTAGTAGTTCTGCTTCTTGTTTGGATGGAAGGGATTTAAGTCACGCTTGGGATCTGCAAGGAAGCGTCGCAGCCTCCAGCTTTGCGGAAGCCAGAGTTACCTTTACAGTAACAACTTTTAACTGCCAGCGCAAGTTTTGGAAGTTTTTAGTTTGCCTTTGTAACATTAGTCTTCTCATAAATCTGAATTGCAAACTGCCTGAAGGGGAACTGATGCGTCTGTTTTCTTTGACAAAGGCGTGGTTAGCTATTTGCTTTTTTCTGAAGTGCTTTGCATCATCTGAAGTTCTGCGTGCTGACATTTAAAGATAAGGCAACACATTTAAAGATAGGCAGCACATCCTCTGGCTAACTGGAGGCAGGTGAATAGCTCTGGCCTTGCAAATAAGGAATTTGATGCTTCTTCCTCTGTTGGTTTTAAATGAAGTGGATCATTTGAAGTATTTTGCTGCAGTTTCCTCAACTGAGCCATGCAAGTCACCTGCCTCTAAGCTATGCCCTTACTCTGCTACAGAAGGTCAGCTCCATCTGCATGTGGTTGGCTGTGTAATACCTCCATTTGGCTTGCTGCCTTGATCTTGGCATTGTAAAATAATGTCCCTTAACAATGATGTCATCTCTTCTCCAAAAATGTGGCAATGCAGAATATATCTATATTCAATAATTTCATGCCACTCTGATGTGGTAGAAGTGTGAAAGCTAATTTTTTTCCCCTTTCTCTAAGGGAGCAGTTGTAAGAGAAGTTTGTGGAAGGAATAAAGCTAGGGGAGCAAAAACTTATTTTGGTGCTGGTGCAGAAAGTAGCAAAAACTGTGAAATCTGCAACTGTGAGTTGCAGAGAATGTTGTGGTAGGTTTCAGCTGAGCCTTTGTTGCATCACTGCCAGTCAGAGAATGAAGAGCTTGGCCTAAATCTGTCCAGATCAGCAGATCTTTCACACAGACACAGCATAGTTAAACTTGCTGTTAAGCCTAATTCAGGTAGACACACATGCAGATTGATTTCCACACAGTCTCTTAACACTTTCTAGTTCCACTGCAGGTTCCAAGTGGTGATAGCAAGGCCAAGACTCTTTACAGTTCCCTTAAGAGAGAGTGCAAATATCATCCATCAAGTTACTCACATGCTTTTAATGAGCTATAGCAAAGAAGAGTAAGACACGTGTAACTTGAGGCACTCTGCTGGGGCAGGCTGCTTTCCCTTGAGCTGACCCATTACTGCTTTGGGAATCACTCCTTGAAGTAATTTATTTATCTTAAGGCTCAAACACAGTTGTGATGAGAATTTCCTGTACTGCCTGTACAAAATTCCTTGCCTTTTCCCATGCTTTTAAATTGAGTTTATATTTACACTGTATTGGCAGTGTGCCAGTCTGCTGTGAAGTGCATGCATGCATGACTCCTCCTGCCTTTGAAGATCAAGTTAACATTTTAGTTCATTTTTCTCTTAAGCACCCACTCATCTGACTAATTTATTTTAAACCATAGTACTAGAGTCTGTATAGAACCAGTTTTGCTCAAGGTCAGTGACCACACACTTGTGTTAGAGATGCTGTTTCACCTTGCTTCCAGGCTTTGGGTGCAGCTGGAACTGCATAAGGCACTTGCTGCAATCATATTAACAGTAGGAGGGTGACTCCTATTCAGGCCTGCCTGGCTGGACTTGGGAATGCTAAATTTCAAACTCAAAAATGCAGCTTGCTAACTTCTGTTTTGCCTTTCAACCAGCTGCAAATATGGGGAGACAAAGCTTCTTAGAAGACCTGCATTAATGCAGATGTAGAGAATTGCACAGCATTTCTCTTTCCTTAATACTCAGCACTTTTTGCCTAAAACCATTCTCTATCTTGCATATTTAAATATCTCAGGCATAAACACGTGACCAGTACCTTCCAGATTGGCAGATCTGTATCAAGCTGTCCACGTCAGGCTAGAATTGATTCTCTGCTGTATATCTGAGTGTGGATGTCATTAAACATATAGTTTTCAGGATATTAAGACTTGCAAATTTAGCTAAGTGGTTTATATGTCAAAAAGTGAAGTACTCTGACAAATATTCTACTGAAATAGGATCAAATAAGGTAAAGTAGAAAATCCTTTTATTGGAGCTCTTCAGTGTCTCTCATGAGATATTCCTTCTTCCATGTCATGTCAATCTGTCACACTTGTGCTTTTTATGTGGGCTCCTGGCTTAACTGGGTTCAATTAATTCTCAGCCTAAGAAATATGGAATTTTATATTTTTATGAAGATCTGTTCATGTGCCCTTGGAGGCATTCATTTAATGGATAAATCATATTTGTCTTTGTATATAACTGTATTGCTGTGCAGTGTGTTCATGGTTTTTAATACCTGTAAATGAAGATGTGACTTTAGTATTGAAATTGATCCAGTTCCTTTTTTTCTTTTTTTGTTTTTGTTTTGACATCTTCAGTAACCACTTCTGCAGCTTGTGAGAAATTGGAAAGAGACAGGAATGAACTGCAAGTTGCTTATGAAGGGTTTTTGCAGAAGTTAAACCAGCAACATCAGGATGACTTAGCTGAGCTGGAGGAGAGGCTTAAACAGTTTTACACTGCAGAATGTGAGAAACTCCAAAGTATCTGCATTGAAGAAGCTGAGAAATACAAAGCCCAACTCCAGGAGCAGGTTTGTAAAACACTCTAAGTAGAAAAGTTCTCTAGCTACTGCTTTCTGCTACAAATGAGCCTTCAGAGAATCCTGGGTTTTGCTAATAACAGTTACTTTATTAATGTAAAATTCTACCTCATTGCAGCAGTAAAAATACTGCCACACTAAGCTGTACAGGTCTTAAGCTTTTGTTTAAATGTGGTGGAGATTGGTTGTGTTCTGCCAGCTTAAGTAATTTCTAGAGCTCCATGGGATATTTGAGTCAGCTTGAGTTTTAAGATTTACAGAAACACACCTGCCCTCTGACCTTGCTTTGCATCTCCATGTGTGTGACAGATGCACACATTATGCTGTTGGTATCACTCTCATTTATTAAGTCTTGTACATGGCTTATCTTCTACTTTTGAATCATGTTAGACCATTTAAAATGTATTTGACATAGTGCATGAAGCCATTGAAACAATGCTTTAAACAAGGGTTATGTTGATACATGTAAGGGGAGAAAAATCATGTTGTCATGTTGCAGGTGGACAATTTAAATACCACACATGAAAGTTTTAAGCTGGAACTCGAAAACAGACACTCAGAAAAAGTAGAGGAGCTGAAAAAGGAGTATGAATCCTCTTTTTCAGGCAAGTATTTTGTACTTAAGTACATATGCTATAGTACTGCTAGTCACGAACAAAAAAATATTCAGGCTTTTTGATCAGTGTTCACTTCACTGTTCTTTGTGGCCAGCTAGCTTTAAAAACATTGGCTGAATTCCTTCCTTTGGAACTGATGAGTCTTATTTTACATAGAGCAAAAACCACGATTCCGTTGTACTTGAATGAAACTTTATTAACAGTTTGAGTGGAAGTGACTTTTTCTTACTGTAAAAGATACCTGAATTGCCCTTAAAATCTCAAGTGACTAAATAATTCCCACCCCCTAGTTCTGTAAGTAGCACCTCAGAATTGAAAATGAGAATAAGTAGGGTTGTGTGCTTTCCATAATGACATGGAAATGTTAAGGAATACTATACACTGTGTACAGTACACTGTGGCAGAGGTGTTTTTCAGGGAGAAGGTGGTGATGTGCTCAGGTTTAAATGACATTGCATCTCATTGATCTAAGTGATGATGATTTCCATCCTCCTTCCAACTCCACTTGATAGTTAAGTTCCCAGTGATACTCTTTTGTCTTGAAGACTGGTCATGCCTCCATTACTTTCAAAGAGCAAACTCCTGCATGGCATCCGAAGTAGGAAAAGAAATGGTTTTTTTAGAAGTTTGTGGAAGAAACAATTTAAATTTTTACTGTTTCCTTCCATAAACTCAACTTTTGCCAGATGTGGCCTGTGCTTAGTAAGTCTGTTTGTTGTATGCAGATGAATGCTCTCAAAACTGACAGGCTGTCCACTAATGAAATGGAAATGTGAGGTGACAATCAACAAATCTCAAGTGGGAATAAATCTGATACTTCATACATGCTTTGCATCAGTTAATGATAAATGTTCTTTCTCTGTGTTGCCATCAAATATATCTATGCATATATATGTAGGCTGGCTCTTCAGGCTGGTTTTTTTCAAAAATAATTTTCATGTCTTATGTGGTATTAAAACTCTGCAAAAATGATTTGTTTTAGAGCTCAAGAGTACCCATGAATCTGAAAGGAAGTCACTTGAAGATTCCTTTAAAGAGAAGCAGGAATTGTTGGAGGTTTGTTAAGGGCTGGGTTTATTGCAACAGTTTAAACCTTGAAAAGCAGTTTGGAGATGTGCACTGAATTCTTGGCCCAATAATACAATATATTTGCATTTCAGAAAAAAATCGATGAACTAAAAAGTGAAAACAACTCTCTGAGTGAGAAGCTGAAATTAGAAGAACAAAAACAAATAGCCAAAGAAAAAGCCAGTCTTGTAAGTCTTGATCTTCCTAATTAATGTGGATGAACAGATCTTGCCTGGGTTTATCTTACTGCATAATGCAAAAGATTTGCAATGAAGCCTGATAGGGCTCCCATACTTAGTAATATTTTGTTGTAAATGTCTCATCTGCCAGAAGTTTTTCATGAGCACTGTGATGCTGTGTATTACCTTTACCATTATAATGCTATAAAGCTGTTGAGTATCTAAGTCAGGGGTGTAAATAATAACCTAAGCTAAATTAAAGGCCCATGTGTGTACAGAATTGTACCATAGCATTTTTGTGGACAGTTGGGAACTGTTGTACCGGTGCTGTGATCAGTGTGGGCTTGTCTCACTACTGCAAAGCTCATTTTGAATGCATTTATTCAAACACTGATCCATACTTTTTGCTGATTTATCCTTCAAAGAAACTTTTACTTTGTCCTGCCTTTCCTCCCAAGGCTGCTGTTGCCTCTGATGCTCCTGGGATAGGAATGTGTTGTGAGAGAGGGGCTTTATAATGCACTGGGTGGGGAGGGGTAGACACAAACACGCTTATCTTTCTGGTTACCCAGAAGTAAGCAGAATAGCAGTAGTATTGCTTATTCCACAAAGAGAAATCCCATGCTTAAAGATTCACTTAGGATGCCTCTAGTGGAAGTTGCCCTAGTTTTCACTGGAATTTGTTTTGTTTTGTTTTCTCTTATTGCTTATTCTAGTGGCAGGACAGAGCTGCCACAAGAAGAATCTGCAACCACAGTATGTTGCCGTGGCAGTGGGAGTTTGAACTCTAATTCCACAGGCACACTCAGATGTTACTTAAATAAAAAGGAGCAATAGTCAAGTGCCTTCACATAGCTTCAAATGTGCTTTGTGCTTTCCTGACAGCATAAGATGCATGATAAGCTTGAGACTTCTCTTTGGAAAAGCACCAGTTTGACTCAGCATACTCCAGCACTAAACACAAATTCTGCAGCATCAGAATTCCCAACAGCCCTTTGAAGACAGAGATGCATTTCCACCTCTCTGGTATCATTTAGATAGTGTCACTTGATATACCCAGGTTTTTTGCTAAAAACTTATGTAGGCCTTTCAGTCTTTTTATTTGGCTGTGTGTTCTCCTCTGAGTAGCTAATATGGGGGCTGAGACTTAACTTTGAAAACACATTTTAAGACCATTGTACCTGAGGAGAGAAAGAAAATAAATTGAATATTGAGCATACTGTAAGCTACATTGAAACTTTTCAGGATTGCTTTTCTTTTTAGCTCCTAGATTCCCTGTTAAAGTCACAAAATAGGAACGAATTGTCTGGTGCCTTCACTGAGGCAGCACAGCATGCTTCACCCTCACACAGACTTCTCAAAAGAAGTTCAACAAGAACTAATGCAACAGGCCTTAAAAACAAGCAGGAGAATGAACTGAGTATGCAATGGAGCCCCTCTTACCTCTGACATGTCCTGGCCCTGTCCTTCTGGGACCACACCCCACAGAACTGCAGGCATTGCCCTCCTGTCTGAGGTTTCTGGTGTGGCAGTGAAGCTGTTACTCAGTGCGGTGCACCTGTGTTCTTACCCAAATGCACTAAAACAAGTTTTGTTTGATTTTTAAGATAAACTTAGTTACACAACATGCTTAATCATTGATTGATTTCAGCTCATGTTCCATTCTCACTACCTGGAAATGGACTAAGACTTGCTTTATTTTTCCTCTTTTTTTTTTTTTTTTTGGATGTGACTGCCTAGAGATGTAGAGAATGTGTTTTGCTTTGCAGTGTTTGAATGGTTTCTTACTCTGGAAAACTGGTCCTTGAGGAAACCACATCTTATCCTGCTCTGGCTTCCTCCTGCTTTCCCTTCCACGTTCCAGAAAACAATAGAAAAAGGAAAAAGAAAAAAAGTCCTAACTTGCTATATTGTAGATAAGTCATGGATGTGCACCAGTGCAAGATTAGTATGTATAATTGCATTTTCAGACTTCAGAAAACCAAAAACTTTCAATTTCAGCTTATAAGCAGGCCACCTTCAGACTCAAACCAGGGAAGATAAGTTACAGTTAAGTTCAAAACTTAAACTTCTTGTGCTTTTTTGAACTATTCCAGTGCCTGAAAACTCTTCAAATGTTTACTCTAATTATCTCTTGGGATGGGTTATGAGTAATATGAAATAAATTTTGGAACTCCTAGCCTTAAGGCCTTTGAGCACTCCTGTGAAACAAGTTTTGCTGTGACAGCATTCATGCCTTCCTTTGATTCACAAAGGTTTTTCATGTCTGTGTGTTAAGTGTTTTCTGAACAGTTTCTAATGAAGCAACTGCAACTGTCCACTACCCTGAAGGACAAACAAAAACCGAGGAGCAAGCAATATCAGATCTTGTTATTTAATCTTGTGTTTGACTTGATTTCACTTAGAACAAGTAACTCGTTACTGTAATTATTTTCTTCTTCTTTCTAAATAGCAGAGAAGCATCTAAATTATTCCTGAAATTCAGGGTAATAAGCAAACTCTCTGGCAATCTTTCAGAAAAATCCACAGATTATGTACCTGGAACAGGAGCTGGAAAGTTTGAAAGCAGTGCTGGAGATCAAGAATGAGAAACTCCATCAGCAGGATATAAAGCTAATGAAAATGGAAAAGCTGGTGAGTGTTCCTTGGGGTCTGGCAGGCTGGAGCTGTCTCTGACTTGTGTTCCTATAACAGACTTGGGCTGGACAGACTTACATGCAAGAATTGATTTTTTTGTTTAAAAGGAAACAGGAATTCACAATGGGACATGCTCACATTGCAGGTACAGCTTCAGGATATATGTCAAGAGGGGAAAAGAATGACCTGATGCTCTAAATGACCTTTTAACATTTTAAGACAACTACTGGTTAGCATAAACTATTGCTAGCTTAGTACAGATTATCTGGGAGCCTCTTCCCCCAAAGAACAAAATCTTTACCTGCTACATTGCTCAAGTGGTATGGAAGATAGATTGCAGTGTCAGGAAAACATTAACAAGGAAATTATCCTAATTTAACAAGAAGGGATCAAATATGAAATTGAGTAAGTCTTGATTAGCTTAGGCCAATCATTTTAGCTGTTAAGCTGCTTGTTTTGCTGTGTGGCTCTCTTCCTGACCTGTGTGTAATTCCACATGAAAAGTCAATTCTGGAGGCAGGACTTGTAATCACTTAGCATGCTCTTATTTGTGAAAGGACAGGGTCTTTCTCCTGGGTGGGGCCTTTGAACATTGTTGTAATACTTGCTTAAGCAAGACTTTAATGAGGAAGTACAGAAAGAGGTTTGGATACAAAGGAGCCCATTCATGTCAGTTTTTCAGTATTGTGCAGCAGTGTATGTTACCCTAGCCTACAATTACTAGCAAATTACTAGCAAACCTTCCTCTTTTCCATTGGCCACAGTGTAGAAGGCCTTGGACCATCCAGCCACTTAATCAGTTTTTCCTTTTATTTTGGATAACAACATGGAATCAGAGGAGCAATAGGGAAAGCTGTTTACTCAGGGTAACTCTTGAATTTGTCGTGTTATTGCTAGGCAGTCTTCTGTCTAGAAAGGCACTACAGTGTCTAAAACTGCTGCCCATCACTGGCAGAAGTTACTGGAATGTGCTGGTTAACAGTAGATCCTTTATCCAGTCCTCCTTGTTGGCATCTAATTAGCACAAGTGGCCAAGTGCCAGTGTTAAGCAAGGATAAGGTAAGTAGGATGTTTTTATGTACTGTAACAAGTTCTGCAAACTCCAGCTTGCCAAGGTCTGTGATAGCTCAGTCAGAATCTTGATGAGTGCATGTATGGGTTTTATTTTAAATTGTGACCTTCTTTCCAAGGTGGAGAACAACACAATCTTAATGGATAAATTAAAGAAGGTTCAGCAAGAAAATGAAGAATTAAAAGCTCGGATGGACAAGCACATGGAGCTTTCAAGGTGAAAAATATCTGTGGACATTTAGATGCTCTTAATCAGGGGAAAGGGGTTCCTGTGACAAGAAAGAAAATTCTGCTGAAGTATTGGTGAATGCAATTTTGTAGTACTCTGTGACAGAACATATCCATTTCTTCCCTTGTTTCTCTATAAATGTGCATTCCTTTGTAGAGTAGCAAGCAAGAACATACTGAAAAGAAGTAAAGGTCTAGTATGTTCTTCAGTGCTCTAGTGTTTTAAGGAAGAAAAAGCAACTCAGAAATACCATCATACAAAGATTTTCCCTTTTTACTGGCTTGTAAGCTAGACCTTGGTCATACTTATAACCACTTCTGTGACTGATTTGTCCCCCGTTTAGGTCAGTGTGGTTTATTTAGCAATAACAGTAATATTTAACATGAATAAAACAGGTCTGAGGTCCTCCTAATGGTTGCTTAAATGGATGGCCAGACTCTTCCAATGTGAAGGAATCTGTAGCTTCTATGTTGAGCTGAACCTGCAATAAGACCCAAAGGCTCCAGCGCAGCCGTTTAAAAGCATGTGTTATTTTAAGCAGGACAAGCCTCACTTTTCAGATGCTTTTTCTGGCCCTTAGGGATGTTTCTTACTGGGACTTCTCCTGCTTTCTGCAAGCTACCAGTTTAAATATAGCTGGGATGAGAACATGCTCAGTCCTCCTATTAAAGCTGGAATTCAGTTGTGAGCCAAGCAAAGGTTTATGCACTTTCAGACTTTTCTTTAAGTTTCAATGCTGCAGCCTTCAAGTTGGGTTATGTGTTCTGATGTAAATCTTCCATTTGCAGGCAACTTTCTACAGAGCAAGCTGTTTTACAGGAGTCATTAGAGAAAGAATCAAAAGTAAACAAACGCCTGTCAATGGAAAATGAAGAACTTTTGTGGAAATTGCACAATGGTGACCTATGCAGCCCAAGAAAACTGTCTCCCAGTTCTTCATCTGTGCCTCTTCAGTCCCCACGGAATTCTGGTAACTTCTCTAGTCCTGCAGTGTCACCAAGATGACATCTCCTGAGAGAAAGAGGAGCCTGCATTTCATTTCTGATCTGCAGAACCTTTCTTAACTTTAACCACAGGAGCAAGAGCTATATTAGCCGCCTATGACAACTAAACATAACTGGAAACTATTCGGTGCAAAAAACAGCGATAGGAGACTGTGAATATGGGAGTAAGACATTCACTCCTCCCAAAAAGACTTATGACCTCTATGGACATCGTTGCACAAAGCACTTATAGAGCAAGAAAAGACTTGTTCGTTGCCTTTTCACCTAACCATAAGAAGAAGCTCAGGGGCTTAGAGATAAAGATCACAACCTTTATAATATGTTCCTTTTCACCGACACTTTTTTAAGGCTGTGTGTGTGCGTGTGTGCGTGTGCCGTGGATGGAATGGGTGTAACACACTGTGCGTGTGTCTAATGCTGCCTTCTTTGCTGTGTATGTAATAAAGGATAAAACCTGAGGACTATACATTGACATGTACTTCCTTGATACTGCTCTCAGTATGCATGCTTAACACAGTACCCTTGCCTGGCAGTGAGGAGAAACTGGTACTGTAGCATAGTTTCCTTCGTCATTCTGGCTGGTAAAAAATGGCATGAAGACCGTTGTCAACTGACTCATTAGCGTCTTGGCCAACTTGAGTATGCAACTTGGAATTAATTTTAAAAACAAATTGAATTGCAGCCATATTTTGCATAGATTCTTGGTTTCATGTCCATGCACAACTCTGCCATTTCTGAAGAGAACTTTTTTTGCAGGGCGCAATGGATTTTGGATTTCAAGTCAATAGGTTTGTAGTCAGAACCACAGTAGCCCTCAAGGTCAGAAGTTCTTAGCTGGGTTGCAAGTTTAGAAGCCTAGACCTACCATCTTACCTGCTGAAAAGGAAGTGCTAATTTCCCCAAAATAGTATGTCTGTCCCTGAGGATAAACAGGATGTAGATTTGAAAGCCAAAGAGAAAAATGCAATAATCTTAACTAGGTGCATTCTTAATTCAGTTCTCAAGAAGATTCAGTAATTTGAGAATTCCAATGTAGCTGGTGACACACTTTGCCTTTTTAAGTATTAGCATTTGTATTAACTTTCCTCAGGGCTGGCTAAATTCACCTGAGGATGAGATGTTTTCTGTGTATTTTATCTTGCTACTCCTGCCATACTTTTCCTCTTAGACTGAAGGATATTGGTGTTTTGACAGTTCATCAGGTGAAAAATCCTATACAAGAGATTCTGTAGAGTAGGGGAAAAAGTTGTCCTGGCTGCTGGAACTGGAGGATGAGGGTGTCAGCATTTCTGGAAATATCACATGCTGAGTTTCGGCTTCAACAGGGTAATTGGATAGCCTTGCTCCACCCTTGATCACACCTGTTTAAGATGACTGCTCTGTACCTACTAAACCAGGTTCAGCTTCAGATGAGCCTTAGAAAATACTACTGATGCTTACAGTAGCTTGGGCTTCACAGCAGGGCCAGGACATTGTTACACTGCTGGTTAGCTAATGCTGGTAGCTGGCTGAGTTTCACTGTCTTTTTCAGTAGCTTGGGGATAGGAATGGAGGGCATGGAAAGCATTTAGGGAAGTCAACTGGAGAACCACTTCAAACTACTTTACCTAAGACTTGCAAAATCTTGGCTAGTAATGAGGAACACAGACATAGAAACAAGATTGTTAACAGTGCTCTTACAGCAAGTAAATTCGTAATATATTTAAACTTGTAATTGACTGTTTCATCATTAAATTTACTTACACCTCTCATAGTGTACAAGTTAAGGGTGCCATTTGTATGAAACATTATGCTTTCTTTTAATCCTTTTTAGGGAACTGTACGTACCACTTATTAGTGGTGTCAGTACTTAAAATGTTTATTAGGAGGTTCAAATTTAACTGTGAAAATCCTACATTGGCTACAACTTGGCTTTACGTATGCCTTGGAACATTCTTACTTTCTATGGTCAAAGAGATTTGATTGCATGTATTTGAGCTGAATGCTTTACAATAAATTTTTTGTACCGACTGAAGGATTTTTCTTCTGCTTGTGTTAGTCAAAGGATCTTTAAGGAGGAGCATTTTTCCAGCTACTAAAAACTCTTAGTATCTCCTCAGCACAGCAAAACAGCAATGGTGAAGCTTCACAGCACAAATCATTAGTGTTCAGCTAATCCTCAGAAAATTTTTCCCTTGTTACTACTCCACTTGTAGGTAGAAGATATGTGGAGCTTGCTTGTGATTCTACAGAACATGCGTGTGAGAAAAGCCACAGTTAGAGGTCAGCAGTGTAAGAGCTCCTGTCACAAGGACACTTACCTAGCCAACAGTAAGAATTTCACTACTCTAGTTGCAGTGTAATGCCTGGAATAAAACATGCAACCAGAGTGCACACAAATGCTTGAAGGTGAAATATGGGATAGTCCTTCCTGTAGCAAGAGCAGGGAAAGCTTTTCCAGACTACCCTATGGAAAAGTAAGTATGGTATAGTAGATAAATTGTCAACAAATTAACAGTCTTAATATTATCTCCACAATACAGGAGACTCTTCATGTCTACACTGCTTGCAAGTAGACTGTAATGCTTTTATGGAGAAATGCTTGTATGTAGAAATCAGATTATAGAAATACCTGTTTAGTGTTTGTCCTGTTCGTCTCAACAAATTAAATGATTCTGCTAATCTGTAAATACTGTTTCAATGTTTTTCTCTGTTTTAGTATTTCAAGCTTTAGCTTAAGTAACATGTGTTGTTGGCTAGTCTGGCTTTGTTCAATCCAGTAACTTTTACATATTTTGGGTTTCTTTCTTTAGCATAAGGTTTCCTTCAGGAAAAGCTAGAAACCTTAATCACCATCATCATAAGCCAAAGGTCAAGCAATTGCACAAGAGCTTTTCTTCAGATATTCAACTTTACTCTCAGTTCCAACTCTAATGATAAGTTTCTGAGGAAGCTATGGTGACATTTAACAGGTGTACCATATAATTTGTTGCCATTTGAACTATTCATAGTATGGTTCACCTTCAGTACTTTTCTCTGAAGGTTCTTGTATGAGTTGCACTGTATTTTCTAAAAAATCTGAAGTGAATAATTCCCTTGAGCTAACTAAAGACTTGATGTTTCTCATTACTAACACCAAAGACACTTCAATGTAAACTGGCATCATGCAATTCATGCAGGAAATTCCTTGTAGACAGTAACCAATCACTGATCTTGTCCGACAGCCAGGAAATCATTTAGCACTGAGCTGCAGCTAAAAAGTCATCATAAAGTTGGGATAACCACTGAAACCTTAAGAAAAAAATATCTTCTGCTGCTGCCTTGCCTTAGAAGAGCAGTGACACAGGTATGGAAATGGAAATAACAGCACTGGCAGCTTTAGGTATATAATTTTGAAAAGTCAAATTTAATTTCCAGGGCTTCATTCTCTTACCCTGTCACTGTTCATTTAGGTGGAAATATGCAATTGTGTCATCTCTGCCCAGGAGGCTTTTGGTAAAATAAAAACTATGTAAAATACATAGTAAAATAATTCTCATAGTTTTCAATTACAAGAATTATGTTGATGGTTGGTGGGAGGACAAGGACAGAAAGGACAGACAGGACGTGACACTCACCAAAACTCTTCCTTAGAGGCACTGCTTCTGTATCAGTCTTGAGACCTGCAAGTGATGGTTATATATAACCATTACACCTCAGTGGACTACTCAAGCAATGAATTTACAACAGGTTTTCCTCTCCTGCCAAACTGTCATCAAGGAAGTGATGCCTCCACTGTGCTGTTGAGCAAGTGTGGGCAGATGATATGATCTCCCACTTCCCAGATACTTTGAAGGAAATCAGTTGTTGAATTACAGGCTCAAATGCACTTTGAAATTCAAAAAGTTGGCACAACTCCTTTAGTTCAAAGGAAAAGACATTGGTCTGAGAAATGAAAATGCTAAAAAGGAATTAACACGTTCCACAGTCTAATCCAGGAGCTCAAGGATTGTTAAAGTTAATTTAGTCAGAATGAAAGAAAAAAAACCACATGGCACAAGGACTTTTTTTTCCCTAAAAACGGTAAATACCTTTTTAGGTATTACTATGAAATTGCATAACCTACTTCGTCCTTTGGATTACAGTGTAATGTTTTTGATACATTTTAACAGATTAACCTTGCCTCTTACACCTTCAAAGTTAGTTCTACTGCATGCTGTTTTAATTTTATTTTTTTAGATACCCTGTTTTCAGAAGCCAGAGATGAAAAGCTCCTGGGGAGTGTTCTCGATGTAGCCTACTACATGAGACCTGCTTGGAACCATTTCAGTCTTTACCAAGGGTATTTCTCTTATCAGTTAAATTGGTTTAGGTTCCTGCATGCTGAAGAAAAAGCATTCAGCCAGCTTGTTTAATGTTTCCATTAGCTACACTAGTACTCAGATCATTGACTTTATTGGGAAGCTGCCACTTTTACATTAGCACTTAGAGCTGTCACTATTCCAAACAGTGCTGTACACTTCTGCACAAAGGTCTGAATTATCTGGAGCACAGGATTACCTCAGGCCTTCAGCAGAAGAAAGCTTAAGGAATTGCAGTCAAATGCAGGCTGAGACAGAGGGACGTGTACGACCGAGGGACCAGTTCCTGCTTTGCTTCCTTGTGTGTAGAAGCTGGTTTTCACTTGCCTTGTGAATAAAATGGCTAGCATTATTTTTTTTTTTGTCTTTTCACTAAGGAGTAGATTTGTATTGAAAGTTCTAGCCCACATAAAGTTGGTGCTTGAGACTAAGGGGAAAAAAAAAACAACATTGCCAAAATATCCAACAATGTTGTTATGAAGTTCTTTCCTTGTACTGGTAACTGAACCCAGGGTGAGAGAAGCTGTGGCTTATTTATCCAGGTGTAGTTCTGAGTAAATGAAAATAGCTTTCCTTTTCTCCTAATTAAATTAATACAATGAAGTTGAACTTGGTATTAACCTAAGAAGAAATTCTACTGTAAAGCTGAACAGTATTCTAATGTTTGCTTCTTTTGCTTTTTTTTCCCTTCTGTAAATATTAATATATAAATAAATGCAAGTTTTACCTTTAGCAACCATAATTTGCTACATAATTTACTACATAATACCAGAGATCTGTTGAGGAGTGAACTACTAAGTAAGCTACATCTTGTAAGACTGTGAGAATGCAACAATATAAGGAAACTCCAGCATACCCAACTGCTAAAAAGTCTCTGGAGATAGTAAATATATATTAAGGTGCTAGAGGGTATTTATCTTCACCAGGAGAGAAAATTTTGTGTTTTTCTTTACACATATATGAAAATGAGCACACACACATTTATGTTTTCATAATGTTCAAATATTTAATTATTCTTGCAAAATAAACTGCTATTGGCTAACTTTGTTACAAGGCTTTTTTTAGTTTGCTTTTTAGTTTTTGTTATTTTAAACACATACAGTAATCTTAAAATTGCACATTCCACACCGTGGGTTGACCTCATGCAAGAGTCTGAGGGAAAAAACTATATGCAAAGGAAAGCCCAAAGAGCACCTGTTTCTAAATATGCACACGTCCTCTGCATGTTCAGACTTAAATTTTAATGTTTCATCGTAGTTTCATTAACTCACAACTCACTACTGCTGGACAGAGTGAACTCTGTTGTGGCCTGTCAAGCTAGTCAACATGGAATGACATATAAAAGAAACAGAGAGAAGCTACATTTAAACAATAATAAAGAAAATTAATGGCAATAATGTCAAATAGCATACAAGTCAGTCCATGTCCAGAAGTCTTTCCTATCACTTTAGTTCAACTTTGGTAGCTACTGTTGTTTCTCCTTGTAGGTTCTGAGCTATACAAACATAGTTTCCCACATCTATGTCTTCAAAATCCTCCACAAGAAGAACACTCTTTGAGATTCTTGTAGTATGTCCAATTCCTCTGTTTATCAATCTCCAGAAGTTTTGAGTAATCACAGGCCTCCCGGACTGTTAAAAAAACAAAACAAAACAAAACAAACCCACCCACATAAAATAGGTGATTCCACAAAATGTATTTAGTGACACCACCCCATCACCTTGAAGCAAGAGGTTGGAGAGTAAGCGTGAGGGAACTGAAGGTGTCAGGCAGTTGCAGCAATATTCCTGCATTAACAATGATGTACCAATAAGCTATGCCAAATAAGGACAATACAATGGCTCTTCCAGCCCAAGCACAGGTACTGGGTTTGCCAGAGCTCTGCCTGGAGCTCAGTTTTAGGCCACTTACTAAGGTTGCATTTGGGAACCTGATCAAATAGGTGAGATATCCTGGGGGAGGTGTCAGGATAGATGTGTGAGCTCATTCACCGACTTCAGGCACGTCTCAAAAAGAAGGCAGCAGTGGCATGAGGTAGCTGAGCTTTCATTTCTTTTAGCACAGGGAACAGCTTTAAGTCACATGTTGAAAACTAATTCCTCCTCTAGTTTTAGAACTACACTACATAAGGTAATATACAAACAAACAACAGCAATTCTCAAATACTTCTGAGTTAATCCTTACATTCTGCTTTCCAAAACCTATATGTAACTTCAAAGCCAAAAATACAGCCCCCCCCCCCGCCATGTTTATATTGAAAAATGCTTTTTCGGAGAGTTTTTGTTATTAAATAACAGTTTTGGGTTTTTTTAATGTATCAGAGAATTCTCTAATGGACTGGTTATGAGGTCACACTGCCTTGCACCTCAGAAGGTCACAAAATACTGGATAAGAGAAATTGATAGACTAAGGCAGTCCAAAATCCAGCAGCTGCTAGTCAGCAGTTTTAAGCACACTGGCTTCTGCTATACCAACAACTGAGATGAAAATGCAAGAGAGAGGTTTCTGCTTGGAAACCATCTTCCCTTGCTGCATGACATAGATGGATTAACCATTTACCAATATGAATGCTACAAGGCTTAAACTAAATGTAGCAATGAAGTTAGACACTTGTGCAGAGTCAAAGCTACAATCTCACACTTGAAAAATGACCAGTACAAAGGCAGCTCCCAGTCTTCCTGAAACTTAGGGATGAGTCACAGTGTAGTCAGGGAATGCCTAGGAAGTGGCAGGCATTATCAGCTTTAGAAAAAAAAATATAAAAGTTCTTGGCAGCTGTAAATGTCGTAGAAATTCTTAAACCTTTAAAAGTAATTAAGCCATTTAGCAAAGCACTACCTCCTGTTCCAAGCCTGAAAATTAAGTGCTACCTACAATCAAGTAATACTGCACACTTAATTCAAGTCTAAGTTAGTTCTTAAATATAGCAAGTGAAACTTCCTTGACCCTACTGAAAGTGAAGGTAAAGGCTGTGCAAGGTGGACCCTGTTTGCCTGGCTGGGCTCTTGCTAGTCCACTTTTCCTCAAACTAACTGCCTTCTGCTTTGAAGCTTGTTGCACAGAATCAGATTAAGGGTGGATCTGTAGGCATTCACAGCAGGTGAATGAGCAAATGCAATTGTCAGGGAGTGGCAAGGGGAAACAAGAAAAAAAACTGAGTAGGAAAAAAGCAGAGGGAGAGGCTAGTGACTACAGAGATAAAATGAGGGTATCCACAATGCACCATATCTAGGGACAAGCAAGGATTAATGTGCTACTTCTGCTCAGGAATCGGGCAGTAGGTGAGAGCCCAGCTGCTGGGTAGTGTGGGCTGGGAAATAACTATCACTGAGCTCCCTGCACTGAAAGCAGCAGCATAAATGGAAACATCCAGTGAATCTCAGAACATCAGTCCTTTTTCTTGCATAAAAGGTCTGTGTGTGACTAGCAACATTGATGCTCTGTCTCTTTCCACCCCACCTTTTTTCTTTGCAGTATGTGAACACTCTCAATAAATGTTAAGCATATAGTGCTTAGTGATTCTACTCTGACATTTACTTGATCCTTTTGTTGAGGCAGAAACCCAAACACAACTCTCCCCTCCCTATCCCCAGGCACAGCTGGAGCTGAGACAGTTTACCCTAGTGGATAAGCACATCAGCCCTTGCCAGGGCAGATGCAGGCCACAGGCCAAAGCCTCTCTCACCCCCGCAGGTGGGTGCAGAGAGAGGGTGTAATTCTCTGCTGATAGTGCATGTGCCCTGCACTGCAGCTCTGGTACCCATAGCAAACGAGAGATAACCTGCATGCTTTAGTTGTTTATATTCAATCAGTGCCAGAGAGGTGTAAACGTGCACATTCCAGCATGCATCAGGTGCTGTAAATCACTGGGAGCAGATGGGCCAATAACAGCCAGCAAACCAGGCTGGAGGCAGCCTGGCAAAGATGCAAAACTAGGGTGGACACTAATGACAGAGAATTTTGGAGGGCCAGGCTGGGTCTAGAATGAGGCTGATTAAGAAATGAGCTCCTGCTGTAACAGGTGAGGGTGGTTAGAGGGAAAAGAGAGGGGACCTTCAGTGATGTTAGTCAGACACATCTTATTTTGTGCAAGAAAAGAGACCACAGATTCACATTGTGTTTCCTGTGGATTCTTTCAGATGAGGCTGGACAGAAGCAGATTCTGCTTCTGGATATGGGCAAGCTTAGAAATTCTGTGCTGGGATAATTCATGCACCCAAGCCATGGAGAAAGAAGGGATAACAAATGCAGAGGCATCAGGGCCTTGTGGCTTGCCCTAGAACAGCCTCCTGATGCTGGTTGGCTTTGACTCTGTCTGAGGCTTTCTTTGGAAATGCTGCTAGAGGCCAAGGATCTCTGGAATGAAAAATCTGAGGAAGGAATGAGCTTTGCTGAACTTGATTTTTACTAACAGAACTCTCTAGCTTCATCCTTGTGCTACTTGTCAGGGAGATTCTCAGGGAAAGACAGGCTGAAGTTGAAAGGGGATATGCTGCCTCCTCCTGCCAGCATGCCTGAACTGGCAGGAGCATTCAAAATGCTGCCTTTGTGAAGAAGAAACCATTTCAGGCAGGGCATGCCTCTTACCTCTTGCCCTGGATACTGCCACCTGAAGTTCACGTCCACATCTGGCTCCCCGAGGACTGTGCAGATGACACGAACTCTGTCACCGAGTCCAGCTCTACTGGATGACACCGCAATTGTGGTTGAGGGCGGGCCCTTGGGAACTGAGACAGTGTTTAGAAACAGAAAATTAGCTGCTAAAGTAAAATACACTGATAAAACTGAGAGTCAATTTTTTACTCAGTTTGCTTAATGCAACAGGTGTCTTACACCTGCAACTTTCCTCTACAAACTAGGAAAGTTGCTGGAATTTAAACCTGATAAATGTTTTATCACATATACTTTTGATTAAGATTTTAAAACTCTCATTACATTACTTATTTTACTTTCTAAAAATTGTTTTCTTAATGTCAGCAGAAGAGTCAATTTAAGGACAGAGAAAACTGCACTTTACCTTCCACATACAGTAGGTGATACTTGATGGAAATCTGAGGTGCTCCCTGTGATTCTGCTTTGCAGTAGACTATACCTTTATGATCAGAAGTAGGGTGCTGGAAGACAAAACCCTTCTTTGCATCATAAATAATATCAGTTCCATCTGTTTCAATTTCTTCTGCTGGAAATTCTCTGTGAAGGGTCACTTTTGCTGAAGGAGTAGTAACACGGCACGGGATGACTGCAGGTTTATCTGGGTTCAGGTAGACAATCTCAAAATAACTGGGAGTAGGTACAAAAAGTTCCTCTTTGTCTGTGCAGAAGAGTTGACATAATTACAGAAATATTTACATCCTGGTTTAACAGAAGGAAAAGTACATTTGACAAGAGAAAATAGCTGTGAGAAATATTCAAAGCTAAAAGCTTTGGCTTAATTTTAATTTGAACACAGAAAAGAAAAAAAGAACATTGCTTGCATTTAAAAACCTTAAATTGAAAAAAAAATACTTCATTTTTATTTATCTTAAGAAAATCTTTGGAGTGTCTTTTAGTAAGCTTCCAAATACTTATCTGGATCCCATCACCACTGGCAAGGTAAGGACTACTAGGAAAAAAGATACCTTTTCAAGCTACAGACTTTTGATACCTATGCTTTTAGGCAAAATGTTTGATTTACTGTCCTACATAGATGAAATATTTAGTGCCCTCAGAATCACAGTTAAGGTATATTTCCATAATTGGTATCCTTCTTGGAAATCTTAATCTGAAATTCCTCTTTCTAGCATGAGCATTTACATAACTTGACTGAAAAGTATATTCCAGACTTTCTGAGGAATGTGTCCTAAAAACATTAAGCACTTCTGTCTCATGGTCCAATTTAATTCCAAAATGTGTTGCAGACAATCCTATCTTAACATTTTGTACTAAAACATTTTTTAGCCACAAATACTTCAGCTCTAATGAGGCACCAAAAATTGTTTTACTATTCAGAATGGTTTCCAGAAGAAAAAAATGAACCATTTGATTTCAGCTCTGTTGTACCAAGCAGCAGCAAACTGTGCACAGGCTCTGGGGGACATCACATGCACTTGAAGAGTGTTTTGCCTCTCAACATGCTATAATGACTCCTCAGAGAAACTGTGGCCTTACCAAGGTCAGTAAGGTCAAGTTTTTTAAGGCAGTGCAAGAAACTGCAATGAAGCAGCAGTGGAGGAGAGTCCACTGGGTCATCTGAATGCCAGGACAAAATTAATCTTCTGCACAGATTTATTTTTGTTACCAAGATACATTTTCAATAATGAATACATTTTTTATTCGTTTTGCAGAAAATCCTCAGAAAGTGTCTTACTAAGTTATGTGCTTTTCACTGCATTATCCATTACTTTGGGGATTTTGCATTATCTGTAGGGAAAATGGACTCCAAAAAATTGCAACTAAGCAAGTAATTTTCTGTCCACCAGCACAGTCTTCCTTAATATCCACTAAAAATAACGAAAACTGGCAGTACACTCTTGACAATGAAATCACTGATGTAGCTTTATTGCTATCTTCCCAGCAAATATATTTCCATTAATAATCCCCCAGTGAGTTAATTACCTGTGAAAAAGATGTATGTTGACCCTGTTTTAGTCTCATCCTTCCTGCATTTGTTACCATTGCACAGCTGAAGCCAGCAGCTGTATTCACCTGTGTCTGCTGCAGTGGAGTTTGCAAGGATCAGCTGACTGTACCTGTCAAGCTGCTTTATGCTGTGAAAAAAAAAAAAAAAAAGCAAAAGGCAAAGGCAAGCACAGATGTATCTCCTTGTATATTTCTGTCAGCTCATTTCCACTTTTGATTTTTTATTCCTTCTCTGCAACTGACCCACTTTTCACTTTCAGAGCTCTTTGCAACTTCCCCTTTTGTTCCAGCAGAGACTGTTTACATGAGTAGTTTATTGATTTTTACTACATATAAGAGCTTGCAGCTTTTGTCTTGTACAGTTTATTTTTGGATTCCTTCAAGTCTCCATTTTGAAATCGGACTGCAACTGTTCTAGGCCATAAGTCCATCTACGTTTTGTCCTTGTTTGTCCATGTATAGCCCTTTCCTTCATTCTACAACTCAACCCACATGCATCTCAGTCCTTTTTCAATACTGTTGCACTGCTTCAATAATATCTAACAAAGATTATTCACAAGTAGTTAGTAGCAGGTACTCTACTGAGAGTTTGTTTAATAATTTCTGCCTGCTTTCAGTGTGAATGCTTTACCAATCTTTAACATACTGGTCCAAGTTTCCACTTGCAAAGAGCTGCAGCTTGGATTTGTCCTGCAAGTTAAATCATTTTGCATCACCTGCTCCTGTGGTCTAAGTCACCTCACTGGAGTTTCCTCCACATCCCTTGGCCATTTTAGAGCATGACCCTGGAAACTGCTGGAGGTGTACTGGCAATGCCATCACATAACAATGCAAAATTCAGCCTGTGTGATTATTTCAGACTTGATTTGCTTTTTTTTTCCCCCTGAATTTCCCAGGCACATCTCTCAGTGGATTGACATTTGTAAACGTGCAAATATTTATAAATATGTAGACATATACATACATACTGACAATTTTTCTAAGGGGCAAAGGTCCTATCTTATGAAATACAGCAGCTATAGTCTCATCTTGTTCTTTTTTTTTTAATGTATTTTAAGGTTTACCTTCCTGACTCTTTCTGGCAGAAAGATGGTGGTGTGGTTGGCAGGCTGCTGGGTTGACTTTTGATGGATTGCAAAAGTAATAGTCCAAGAGTACCAGTTCTCAGGGAGCCCTGTCAGCACAGCCATGTGGCAGTACTGACATACTCTGCTGCTGCTCCGACCCTTGAAAATGTTCTTTTCAACCAGCTGCCTTCCATGATAGTGGATCTAGGTCATGAAGGGTTCCCTCTTTCCTTTGCAAGACATTGAGTTATAAGGGAATTTCTTTTCTAATCAAGTCAGGAATGATTTTCCCAAGTTTAAGTATTTGATAATGAACTTCTTTTTACAGTTTCAAAAGGGATTTTAACAAATACACACCTTGCATGAAGTCTGAGCAACTCTTGTACTCATTCAACTGTGTGTTTTTTGAATATTTATTACCCTCCTAATTCATACTAATGTGGTGGTTATTCTGTAAGGCAGATACCCGACTGAACCATTTCTTTCTGGGATTAGCATCTTTGAAGAAGTTTTTATCCTCTGAAACGCCCTGTGACTAACAGCAGTACTACAAACACGCCTGAGTGTACTGTGTTCCCTAAATGCTCTGTTTTGCTTAACTCTCCACTGCAGGCAGAATAACTGTTTAAACAGAGGCCACCACTTCAGCTGCATGTGCTTCCCAGAAGTTCTGACTGCCCAGGTGCTCTGCTAGCACTTTGCACAACTACCAGCAATCACAAGCAGCAGTTCACATAACCCAACATTCAGCCTTTATACCAGCAGCTTAGAGATTAAAAGCACAAATACACCCCTCAAACAGAGATAACTGAGAATTGCCTTTTCCAGTAAGCCTTCAGACTCCATTAGTACCTGGATCCACCACAGGGCAGTCTTGAGGCCTGCCTCAATAAACAAACAAATCATCTTTCCTACCCACTAATGCATTTGTCCTACACAACCTTGTCTGATTCCATTTTTTAGAATCATTTAATCACGCATTTAATCACGGCACAGTAATCTCTCCATTTTTAATATATACACTACTTTACATTATAAACCATCTTCAGTTTTTGGGTAACATTTGAGAGATTCCTATCTGTGCAAGAGAATATGCTGTATATCATACCAAATAGGAAGAAAAGACAAATCCAAAACATGTCCTAGTCTGTATTATTGCTATTTATTTTCCCAGTTCACATTCCACAGGCTATATGACTATCTCAGAATAAAATGTTTTCCTAGGATCAAGTACTAAATGCCAACAATACAGCAATACAGAGAAACCATTATGCCAGAACACTTTTGCCTCCAATCATTAATGCAGACACTGAGTTATAGCTTGAAATTCCAACAGATAGCAAAATACGGTCAGAGTTAATTAAATATTGTACAGTGTGTTCTTAACTGAGAACAAGGTATCCAGTAATCAATGGAAATAACCTAGCTAGGTAGTCATCCACAAACATGCAATAACAAAACCTGGCATCTGAAACTCTAAGTGTTGAAACTCGAGACATGACCATATTAAGCAGACAAAACAGACCATATTATATAAAGTATAAATGGTAAATCCTGCAGATGACCAATATTTCCAGGGTAACTTATTATTTCATTAGTATTTTAGATGCTGGGAAATCTGACCCAGAAGCCAAAACTTTGCTGTGTTGTAGATGTCACAAAGTAAAAATGTTTTATATACAAACACTCCCAGATTGTTTAAAGAAACTAGAAAGGTAGCCCAAAATCTTATTCCATACATTCATCTTATTAAACTTTAAATAAAGTTCAAAGGGTTTTTGCCAGAAAACTACACCACATTTAGAAGGTATTTATATTAAAAATATATATATAAAAACAGTGTACATAGCATCACTCAAGGGCATCTACCAAACTCCTCTCAAGCAGCTGCATTCATACTGACAAAAGAGAGCTTATCTCAAATACACACTCACTAGGACAGGAACATAACCTCTCACTGTTTTACACGAGAAAAAAATCCTTAGCTTTCAAACTTCAAAGCACAAGCAGCAAAATCAAATTCAGTTATACACACGAGCACAACTGACATCCCACTAAGCCTATGGGAGTCAGCATTCAGTGAAAACAGTCTAATTTTGGCCCCACCACACCCAGTTTCCTCAATATTTGTGAGAGTGCTCCTCTGCAGACACCCGTCTCTCACACGAGTGTGATGCATGCCCAGCTGTTCACCCCAGCTTCTTCCATTAGAGCAGCTCCATTTCATGTGAGTTTGCTTATCAGACAAAGTTAAAGGCAGGGGAGAGACCCATGCTCCAATCAGGCAGCACAGAGACTGTGTGAAGTCACAGCAGCTTTCTGCTATAAAGCTTTGGTAAAGGGAAAATGCTCTTGCTCTTATTTTTATTTTCATCCCTCTCATATGTTGTAGATCCAGTTTCTGGGTGAGCCTCCCAGTCATTAATTTGTTATTCACAGTCTTACAAAACAACATTCCAGCCCTTCCATAGTGGAGGTGCAAGAGCAGCTCTAACTGTTTACACCACCAACAATTTTGGCCAGTTCAGCCACCACACAAAATTCTCAGACAAAAAGTATTTATGTGCTGCACAAAGCAAGAGAGCATTACAGATAATAGGCTAGTTCTGAAGGAAGCTTGTGTGTGTCCTTAAGCTGGGAACCATGTTTGCATGATTTGAGCTTTCTCTCAGAGATGTATGGCACACTAGTCTCTAAAGCTAAGTAAATTGTTTTAGTGTGTACTGTTGTGTACTCCAGTTAGAACAGTGGAAAGGCAAAATTTCTGCTCCATCTCAGCAAGAAGCAGCCCGAGTCCTCCTCCTCCTTTCATTCAGCATCTCTCACTCCCTCGGATATGACACTTTTAGCACATGTAACAGCTCTAGATCTATTAAAAACTCCAGTACAGCAAGCAAAACATTTTATTTACTAGGTTGTAGAGTATGGCTACAAGGACAAATTCAATGAAAGCACAGCCACTAATACTACAGAAACGGCTTTTCTAATTAAAATCTTCCTCCTTAGAAAAGGCATATTGTCCCCGAGGACAATGCTCCTTACCTTATGGGTGAATTAAAAATGTGGTAAGCATAGCACAGAGACAAAATATCTGTTTTTTATCCCTCCTTCTTTTTGCAACCTCCCATAGAAAATACATAACATTGATGCTAAATGTAACTAGCTGCAAGCCAAAATGCCAGAGTAGTTGAATTTGCACATCCCTTCTATTATTTAAGGGAAAAGTAAGACTTGGATACATGAGCATCTGTTGCTATAGGGACATTAAAATAAACAGAAAAATTGTAGTCATTAGTCCACAGCAACAGCAGGGATCTCATCACTAAGTGTCTCTCCTCCTTTGTACTTTTCCTCTGTCACATCAACCTACTCCTTCATTTTCCATTACCTCCTCTTGGCCCCATCATGTCCCCCTGTAGCTGCCATCAATTCTGGTTTGCAGAAGTGCCCCAACTCCAGCAAGACCTGCATGGAAATCTAAGGTAAAAAAGGACCAGCCCAGTTAATTAGCCTGGGCTTAGCCCCACACCTCACTAACTGGTAATGAAGGGATTATCTTATTCTTGGTCTTTAAGTACTCAAAAAATGTTAGATGATTTAGAAGACATATCTAACCAAACTATTTCTGCTGTAGGTTATTATTTGCTAATAATTTTTCTGCATCTCCCCCCTCTGTCCTATATTCATAATTTTGTTTTAAAATTATGAAGGTAACGTATAAATAAAATGTCTTAAATTGCCTATTGCAGTTGATGCTTGGGGCATGTTCTTGCATATGCCATGAGGAAGATCTGAGCTCCTCTTGAAAGATCACAGCTTTGCTGACCTTTTCTGGTGCCAGCTCACTTACCAACACTGCCAACTGAGCTAAGTAACATAGCACCTTTATGCTACTTCCAGTTAGACTCCATCACACCCTTCTGAAACTACAGAACACAAATTTCAAATTTCACATTCTATACAGCAGACATTGCTTCATAGGCACCTATTAGAGTTACAGCAAAGACCTTGAGATAATTACCAAAGCCATGCTAAAAATGTGATGAAAATATAACTGCACAGGATTCTGTGGTCAATGTCTCTGTAAATTATTACTATTCCATGATTCTGAAATCTGCTCCTAATCTATGATTTCAATTTCTCTAGTTAATTTCAGGCTCTTCTACTTGCATTCAAAACTGCTGATTTAGTCAAACACAGCCTTACTGTTTTAACAACTTATTTCAAGTGCAATGACCATTATATTTCAATCCTTAGATCCTTAAGTATATGCCTTACATACTTCTAAAAGAAAATAAATACTTAGCCAAGTTACATCCACCCAGTCAAAATGTTTTATAGCACTTTGTGTGGCGTAACTAACTTTTGTTGTAAGGTTAAATTACTGTATGGTTAAATTACTGTTGACTGAGTACGGAAATGTAAATTGCTGAGGCAACAGGATCTCAAACTACTTCAAACTGGGAAACAGAAAATTACACAATCATGACACAATACAGATCTTTTTTCTGTTTTCCCAAACTATCTCAATTTCTTGTATTTTGTCCCACATGCACCAACAGAGAACACTTAATTTTGCATGAGAGGAATAGACAGTCAAATAACCAATTAAGAAGCATTCAGATTCCTCTCCAAAAACCCTGAATACTTGCCCTGCCTTCTTCAATACTAGATTCTGACACTCAGCATGGCCTGGAGGTCTACAGGACCAAACCACGCCAGCAACCTATTTGCACACGTAAAAAACATTAAGATAGACCTGAGAATGACAACCATCACCACATACACACATGCTCCCTCTTGATTTGCACACGCAGCTCTGGCTTGCTGGGAGGCCAGGTCTGTACTGCAGCTAATAAACGCCACCTGCTGAAAGAAGATAGAAAGTATTCCTTGCAAAAGAATAAGCAGTAGCAGTTTAAAGCAGCCACAAAATCCACTGACAGATATTGCTGTGGTAAGCCCACAGCCGGAATTGGCTTGCTGCTGTAACGTACTGTGGCAGAAGCTTTGCACTCAGCAAGGAGCCCTTGAGCACCTCAGCCAAGAGACGACCAAGTAATTGCACAGAGAATTGGCTCATGAATTATAGGAGGATGTGCTAGAGATCACAGTGAGTAACTGCCATTCATCAACACTCCTCTTGTGAAAGAGAAGTGTAAAGAAGAAGAAAATATCTGAAAAACTAATTAACTGGGAGCGATTTTAAGGTAACATCACACCTGTAAATAAGTGAATAGATCACAGAGATTCAGATAACCTGAGTTATTTAGAGAGAGCATACACACTTGTACTTAATTTAGGAACAACAGGACAGGAGCAGCTGAAATCTTGACCAACATCTCTGTGCCCCTCTCACCTAATAATCCAAGCTCCTAACAATTCTTTCTTTGGGTATCACACACACTGCTTCAGTGTCTCCATAAAACAGCTGGTGAAAACAAACACTTCTCAGAGCAATAAAATGCCTGTGGAAGACATCCTTAAGCTCCTCCTCTTTCTAATACAGTGCTAAATTACTACATTCAATTAGCTATGTGTACCATCCTCAAAATCCAGGAGGGCAACGTATGGAGAGTCTCAGAAAAGACCTTCAGAGCAACAGGACACTAAGATGGTGGGGCAGTCAGTTCCTCTTCCTGCTCTAACAAATCTTTATATGGCTTTCATTAAGATGTCACGAGATGAAAGAAAAAGCTTTCCTTGATTTAAAGTGACAACCCTCAGCATTAAACTCTGATGCAACACAGGCCCTGCAATTTCATTTTGCACGCAAAGGCAACTCTGACTGAACCACTACTCTCACTTTCTTCTTAGCGTGAAGGCTGGTGTATTTTTTGCTAGTTAAGAGATGTGGGTTTGAGTCTCTTCAGGAAATTACCCTTACTACCTCATGTGATAGCCACATTAGCAACCAGTACAGCCCAACACGAGCAGATCTCTGCAAAGCAACGGAGCTGGCAGCGAGCACCTGACATCCACACTCACACATTTTGAGAGTTTCACTTTGGACCAACCCTAATGTGGTTCCCTGTTTGTTGTTGGAGCACAATGGTGAACATCATCTTCATTCTAGATTCATCTGAAGGAAACAGAGTTCACATGCTGTGAGACTACCCCACAATGCACATCACAAGGCAGTAACTGGTGATGACTAAAAGTTGCTCATACTTTTTCCTGATACTAAAAACTATTAGATAGAATATGGTGATTGTAAAAATGTAAATAAACAAAAACACCAGTGGTGTTGAATACAATAAGGGGAAAAAAAGTTCTGAATTTTTCCTGCAAAAAATGAAAACTAGCTTACCTGAGTCTGGAGTCTTTAAAGGTGTCTAAATAAGAAGGATAGTTCCAAGTCACATTACTCCCCTTACATCGCAGTTCTATGCTTTGTCCTGCAGCCAGGCTTAAGGTGGCAGCTAGTTTCTGGAAATTACCTTTATCCATCACCTGTGTCAGTATGGACTGGGACTTCAAAGAAGAGTCCACAGATTCTCTCTCCTTCATTTTGGGAGTCTTGGGTTTTACTTTCTTGTTAACAGGCTTAATTTTGTTTTCTCCAGGTTCTTTGGGACGCTTACTCTTTGCAATAACTGGTAAAATAAAGAAAAGAAGGCAATGATTAGAAAAAGTCTATATAGTCTTTTGGGAAAAAATATCTTCCTTATTAACCCAGAGAATAACTTAATTTTTGTTTTTCTTAGAAAAGATGCATAAAACTTAGTAAGAGTTAATTTCCTTAAGTTTTTGAAGTCTGCCATGACCCATTTTCCTGGGGAAGAAGGGAAAAAAAACAAAGAGAGCTTTCAAGAACATGTGGAAAATCTATACTTACATAAACAGAGAAATATGCAAGGTATGAAAACTTTACAAATGGTAAGGGAAAGAAATACAGCACTTCCATCTCCAGCCACTTTTGTCATTTCCACCTCCTGACACTGCCATGCAGCTCTCAATGCTACACAAGCTCTCCACATTCACGTAATGTGTCCATCACTTCTGCCTTACCTCTTCACACACCACACTTCCATAAGGGACACATGAGGAACTCACAAGTGTAGAACTTCATAACAATTTATAAAATACTGACATCGATGCAGTTTTCTTTGTTTATAGTAATTTCTTTGTTTATAGTAATTACTGAAATGCAAGTGATACTTCAGTCAATTAGGTGACTTACTTAAGCTGTCACTTCTCCATTTATTTTTACAGCCCAGAAGAAGACAGAATCTTATTTAGGGACAAACAATAAGAGATTTCATTACCTCCTAGAGATAACAGGGATGCCCAACTGCCTTAACAAACAAAGGAAATAGAAAAAAAAATGAGGTGCCTCAAATACTTAAGAATAAAAATAAACAAAAAATTCCAACTTTAAGTTACTTCAGGAAGCACAGTCCTTTTGTGAGATAAGCCTAAAACTACTTTTGCCAGACACCAGAAACACCACTAACTATGCCTGACAACTAATTCTTGTTTTCCATATGGAAATGCTGAGTTATTTCATTGTACAAATCAAGCAACAAGCTCCCTCTGGAACCAAAAACTCAGCACACACATATACTCAGAGTAATTAAAACTGGTACTGGCTGCCAGTACAAAGAGCAGGACTTCCAGATTCCTGCCACTGATGGCTCCTGTGACACTCCTCAAACCCCAGCTGGACACCTTGCACAGCATCAGCTTTGACTTCTCCAAGTCCAGGCTGATGTACAACACCTTTCTTGTAAACAATATAGTGCCTTGAGCACAAATTTAAAAATTTAAAATCTAGGAAGTTCTTGCATTTTTTCCTTTCATTCCATTAGAAAGGCTACAGTGGGTAAAGGCAAAATCCCTTGCACTGATACCACCTAGTGCCAGATGCCAATCAGGGAACAGGGCAACCATCTCTGCCCCTTTGATACTACTCTCCTAAGCTTCCAAGATCCTTTAGCTCAAGGGGTCTGTGAACCACAGTTGTCCTCTTTTTATCGTGCTTGGCTGGTTTTGGTTTCGTTTGGTTTGGGGTTTTATTTTTTATTATATTGCCCTTGGATGTTTTCCTACATTGATTTGTCTGGTGAAATTTTGAAAAGTACACAAATTACACATAAATACTAGATGCCTTCTAGTTTTTGTATTAAATAAATACGTTTCTATGTTTCTCCAACATTCTCTCCAACACATGTACTTTTACAAAACTTGAGCGTTTTTGACTCATTTTCTTTCCAGACTGACAAGTTCTACTCTGTCTAATTGTTCCTGTAAACAATACACATCTTACAACAGTTCAGCTACATCACATTTGGGTGATGGCAGGAACACAAAAGCAGACTGTACATCAGGTTCTCATATTAATACCATCTTCTTTCCTATTTAAATAGCTCATTACTTTTCAAGATATTAGGAGCTGACTTTTAAAAAAATATTAGGAGATGACTTTTTAAAAACTAATCAAGTGTAATTCTAAGATCATTTTCCTAAGTAGGAACTATTGGTTAAAAATTCCTAAGTAGAAACCCATCAAGGCATACATGAAGTTAGAAAAATTTGTGTTATTTAGCGTCTATCAACAAGAAATTTGAACTCCTATTTTCCCTGCCCAGTCTTTCAAAATTGAGAGATCATTCTACAAGTCTTTACTGACAGGTTTTTTTTTCCTTTAACAGATAATTAAACATGCTGAAAAGTATGTGCCTTCCAAGAATCCCTGTTAAATTCAACTGGATAAAAGCAATTCTATCCATATTGCAAAAAGACTAATTCCTACTCTTAATTTCCTCTTAGTTATTGTTCCATGAGAGGTCTTCCCTTGTCTCAGAGCACACTGGTTCCCAAGGAATCTTTTACAACAGGCTTAATAAAAGCCTTTGGGAATCCAAATACATAAACCAATTCATCCATGGCCACACTCTTACAAAAAGTCCTCAGAGAATCTCAGCAGATCTGAAAAACAGAACTTCTCAGGGAAAAAAAAAAAGGAAAAACAAAAAGAAAAAAAAGAAGGGGGGGACAGTCATGCCAAAGCATACTTTTCAGCAATTTATGAGTTCAGTTTAGAGAATACAGACATCTGGCTTTGTGCCTCTACCTCTCCCAAATACTGTAAAATACTGGGATATTCCACTTCCCTGGAAAGGCATAGTTATATGATATGATACAGTGATATGTAGTGATATCACAATCAATTCAGTTGCAAAAGACCTCTGAGACCATCAAGTCCAACCTCTGACCAAAACCCACAATGTCAATTAGGCCATGGCACTAAGTGCCATCCAGTCTTTCCTTAAACACTTTCAGGGACAGTGATTCCACCACCTCCACTGGCAGTTCATTCCAATGTCTAATCACACCTACTGTGAAGAAATTCCTCCTGATGTCCATCCTGAACCTCCCTTGGCCCAGTCTGAGGCTCTGTCCTCTCGCCCTGTCTGGGAGAAGAGGACAAACCCCACCTTGCTGCCACCTTCTTTCAGGTAGTTGTAGAGAGTGATAAAGTCACCACTGAGCCTCCTTTCCTTCAGGCTAAGCGATCCCAGCTCCATCAGCCACTCCTCGTAGGACTCAGACCCTTCATTAGCTTCATGACCCTTCTCTGGAAAAAGATTGTAAGCTATGCACCTGGGTTAAGGCTTCAGCAATTTCAGATTCGAACTTCTTTTAAATCTCAGGTGTATATCATAAAATCATGGCACACAGTTTCTATTGCTGATTTTCTCTCTCACTGATTCTTTTGGCATGTTAATGAGATGTCCTCTAATGATTCTCCCCATAGAGAAAAATTCTATTTCAGAGTCTGCTCTTAGAGTGCTTCATAAGATACTGCACTCTAAGTTTCTTCTATTCTTATCATGTCACCATTTTCCAGTAAAACCTCTCTAAGCACCTCCATAGTGAACATGGGTGCACACAGATAAATTTCTAAATTTTACTTTTTATAGATGCTCTTTTTTATCCTCCATTCCTATCAGCCAAAAAAATTCTGGAGCCATGTCTCCCTGCTCTACCATGGTACATCAAAAGAAAAAGGATTTATAGTTGTTTTCAACCTTTTGTAAGCTGTTTCTCAAACTCTTTTTGTCTGCTTTATTCTGGTTTTTGTATTTAAACCACATGTGAGTTAAGGAGCCTCCTCCTCTTATGTAATTGTTCCTTCCAAAATTAAACATATCAGTGGTTTCTTTGTCTTTTATTATTCCTGCAAGAATATTAGAACTACAGTCTAGCTGTTCCACAACAACATCTGAATCCAATTACCTGAGTACTGCTCCAGATCAAGTCAAGAATTGCTGGTATTCTGAGAGGCTCTCTGAAGAGCAGCTCTAAGTCATTATTTGTGGCATCTAAACAATTGCATTCTGCACCATACCTCGATGTGTGTGACCTGGCCCATGTGAGGGGAAGTTATTCTTCCTTTTGCTTTTCTATCCAATTCTTGCTGCCCCTCTGATTTTCCTTAGCAGAGCAGTCATTATACATTGGGTGGTCAGTTACCAGGTTGGTTCTTCTCCACAGGGCTGGTATTTCAGTCCCAATTACTTTTACCATCAAAACCCACCAGGAAACAGATTTAACACTGTTAAAGTTTTCTCCAACACATACTGCCACTTCTCCCTTGGGTCAGCTATTCTGTCTTAGCGGAATTCCATCATCCTGCTGTGCCTAGTATTGGTAGGTTCCACTGACAGGACTGATAAGCTTTTTGAATGAGCATTCCCATTTCAAATTGGCCGTTCCAGTTCCTCGTTGAACTTTCCTGACTATTCTGTAGCAGCACACAAGCTTTGGTTCACCCATCCTTTTTCATTTTTTCCCCCATCAAACTGTACTGAAATTTGTTCAAACTACTCTTTGACATTTCCACTGCTTTTTGCCAACCTCAATCCTGACGCTATTTCAAAGGCACATGGATCCTGCAACCTCAGCCCTAGGAAATGCTTCATCCCATACCGTGTGCTCTGCCACACATGAGACTCTGCCTTTAAGAAACTGTTAAAGACTCCCGTATGAAAGCTTTTCAATTTTAAGTGCCAGAAGCCTGGTTTTGATTTTCTCAAGATGAACTTTTTTCTCTCCACACAAGCTCCCTCTGTTCCGCATTTCCGCAGTTCAGCGAGCCCGAACACTTTTCTCCTACAGCACACTCCCAGCTACTCAGTGAGGGCCTTGTCTGCCTGACCTTGTATTTCCCTGCAGGTGACAGCAGGGGCATTTTAGGATTCACATCAGATGAACTTTCATCTTCCTACAAAGAGAACCTGGTTCTGTCTCTGTCTGCCTCCTGGAGAGGTGAGTTTCCAAGCAAGCTGTGGCCATGCTCCTCCCCAGCACTCCCTTGCAATTCTGCCCAGATATCTACTGACACCACCACTTCTGCCCCTCACAATCCTGTCTTCTGTCCTAGCTGAATTAAGTCTTTCTATGCCAGGTAACTAAATTACCTGCCACAGCATCACCTAAGGTAAAGAGGACACCCAATCAAATCCTTCACCTCCATTTCCTTATCCAATCTGGAAGACTTTCCCAAGAAAGGGAACAAAGTCAACTAGCCCATTGTGTGAGGTTACCAAAAATTTTAAAAATAAGTTTAAAAACATAAATAAAAAATAAACTGTGAGGTTACCATAAAGTATAATTAACCAGCAGGATTCCTATGCGAGGAAAGAGTCTTTGTGATTACAAGTAATGTAACAGAACAAGTTGGACGGACCTCATCATTTGTGATACTTCAAACAAAAAGTTCATCATCCAAACACAGAGCCCATCTGGAGGGGCATATTTCATTAGTTCATAAATTAATATAAGATAAATTAGGAAGACTATTTTGAAATTACAACTCCTACATTAAGACTTCTACATTTACCTTTAGATAAGAAATTCTTATTAAATGTGCCTGGTTACTTTCTCTCATTGCTAAGTTTCTGGATGGCAGAGCAGGAAGCACCCAGTCACACCTCAGTATAGACATGACCAGCTGACAAAAACACAGACTTGGGAAATCTTTAGCCCAACTCATTTCTTATTCTGTGGTTTTATTGTCCACTTCTCAAACAGAAAACACTTTCCTTCATGTGGTATACCCACAGACCAGATCTTTCAGCAGAAATCCTCTCCCACACCACTCTGATCCACAGTGCAATTCCTCTGCATGCAGTAGTGAGAAAAACGAGGCTGGAAAAGGCTCTTGGAAGTCCCTTCCCATCTCTGTTCAGCTGCTCTGAGCCTTATCCAGTTGAGCCCTGACTTTCCCAAAGGCTGGAGACTCTACAGCCTCCTCTGACAAATTCTTTCTACGTTTAACAGCTCTCAGGGTGGAGGATTTTTTATATTCTGACATGAATGTTTTCCTTATGACCTCCTGAAGTACTTGTGGTACTTGCTTCTCTCACCACTCACCTAAGTAAGAGCCTGCCTCCTCTTAAACTACAAACCCTTCCAGGGGCTGCGAAGGCCTCGATCCCCAAGCCCTTCCACGGTGAAAAACAGTGCAATTTTTTTGTTGTTGTTTCTTCCGATTAAGTATTAATAAGTTAATTCACATTTGGCAAGAGGGGAAGAGCCTCTCTTTTGCTAGTTTAAATCTACGTAAGTCAAGAATTAGTTACGAATGTCTCTTGCCATAAACTTGCCTTTCCCCACCAAGACTTTCCCACAGCCTGAAGTGGGGTTATGAGTGAAGTTCGATGCTCTCAATCGAACAACGACGCACAGAGCCAAAATTTTTTTGATCGTTTTTTAAATCCGAGCGCCACGTCCAGCGCTATCCCACGTCCATCACTGTCCCTCCCCAGGCGCCACACGGGACAGGACGCGGACTCAAATGTTTCACCCCGGAGAGAGCGGGCGGCAGGAGCAGCCGGGGCTGCCGCGAACGCCTCTCCCCGAAACCCAAACCCACGTTTTCGGCGGAATGCTTCGGCGACCTGCTGGCCGCACACGATGCGAGCACCCCGCCTTCCCTCCGCCTCTGCCCAGCGGGACGGGAGCCCCGCCGCCGCCCCCTCCCGCTCCTGTCCCGGGGACCGGCGGGTACGGCTGGGAAAGGGGGAGCCCGCGGCACCTCGCAGCGCGGGGGGACCCGTCGTGGCGGCGGCTCACCGTGTGGCAGCGCTTCCTGCAGCAGCAGCAGGCTGAGCAGCACCCAGAGCCGCATGGCGGGAGCGGCGCGGGCGCGGCGGCGGCGGGGCGGGCGCGGTGCGGGGCGGCCTCGGGGCGCCTCGGTGGGGAGGGGCCGGGCCGGGGCTGGGGCCGGGCCGCTCCCGCCGCCGCCCGCTCTGCCTCGCCGGACAAACCCCGAGGTGCTGCTGCAGTACCTTAGGGGACGCCCGGGACCGGCTGTCCTTGAAGCAGCTCGCCCCTCGCCGTACGGGGCTCTGCACGGGTCCGGCTTGGTTATTGGGTGCCCCGGGGCCCGCAGGCGGGTGGGCAGAGCGCAGCAGCGAGACCCTCACGGGCTGTGTCACAGGTGAGCCCAGGGCGGCACCTAGGGCACTGAGCAGTGCCGGCCTGAGACAGCAAAAGTACATTTTTACGTCAAACTATTGCACTCGTACCAGCCTGCCACACCGAAGAGATTCCCAGTCGCTCAGGAAAAGCCGTCGCACTGTGGAAAACAGAGGGGGTCTCTCTCTCGTCCAACCTGCGGCTCCAGAGGCCATGACACGGTTTTCGTGAAGCACAGGGAGCACATCTCTCTCAGTTGCTAGCGAAGAGATGAAGGTGCTAACCTTGATGTTTGCATGTATGTTTCTGCCCACAATGAGCTGTAAAAAGCCATTCTTTGAAATTTGAGGGTTTCCTTGGAGGAGAAGGGAGAGGAAAATATGACTGGAGGGGCTGCGAAGATAGATGCAAGGCAAGGTTGGATTTGAATGGAGGAAAAACAATGGCTATCAGAGATCACAGGAAAACCCCGTAGTAGACACAACCACAGTTCAGTGTGAATAAAAATGAATAAAAATTATGTCCGTGACCACAGCTCCAGGGCCACAGCAGGTATGGGAGCAGAGTATTTACAGATTACTTAAAGGAAGCCTAGGCTTCATCTGCATCCACACAAAAAAAGTTACAAGGTCCATGCATAATGCTCTTCAAAACACACGAATATGCAGAGTTTGGAGACCTGCTTGTCTGACCCTGCTCTGAGATTTCACTCTGGGGCACGTGGTTAGCACAAAGAAGCCAGTAAGGCCCAGGGGTGGAGTCAGATGATGAAATTTCGTGATCTCTTTTTCATTCTATTATCAGCGTATCCTAATAATGTCATCCATTACCGGTAACAAATTAAGAATATTTTTGTTGCTACAGGATGTTTTAAAAGTATTTCCCCCTTGAAACAATTAGAATACCAAGTATTGTATCTGAAAAGGTTATCAGTCTTTGTTTTAAGGTAAATGAATCTCAGAGAGAACCCAGAAGAGCTGTGTAGTATAAACAGCAAATTTGCAGTGGAAATATTCACAACTCCTGCTTATGATGAATGTTGGATCCCAGAAACCTGGGATTTTTGAGCTTTCTGTGCTTTCTGGCACTGACTCCCTGGAGAACACTGCTTTTGACCTGAGGCCTTGGAGAAGGCTTCCAAATTTGGGTGATGAAGTTAAAGTCACGGGTGTATAGTTGGAATAGAAGTGTGTGATTTCACATGGTGAAGGGTTTTGAATTTGAAGGTTTTAGAATAGGTATGGGATAAGATGGAGGATTTTGGGTGTTGTCTTTTCTGTCTTCTTCCTTCTTCATGATTTCAGGTAGTAGTTTCTGGTTGGATACGTAGTGCTGCACTGTGGGTCACAGGAGTTTGTTATTGGGTCAAAAGTATAAATAATATAGGTGTTAATTCCCTATTGGATTGTTTACCTTTAAGAGACCTTGTAGCTAGCTAAGTTCACCCCCATTTTGCTCGCTTTTAGCTGGTAGCTAGAAGTGTTGCAGAACTCTGTACTTTAGATAAGATTTAATAAACAACCAAGCCCAAACATGAGAAAATTCTTCTCCTTTGTGTTTTTAATCCTGACTCTGAGTGAAGACAGAAGAAAATTATGACAAGCCACTAATTAAATGGTGCAGATACCACATTTGCAGATGAAGAGTGGGCTTTTTTTTTCCCTGTCATCTGCAAAACTACTGTTGCAATCCTTATGTGCCTTCCTAGGTAAAATTTCCCTTTTGCTTTCACACACAGAATAGGTCAATTATCTAATGGTGTCTGAGCTTCAAGTATTAGTGTATTATGGAAAATACGGTAATAGCACCTGGGAATAACACTCAGACTGCATTAATGTTAAGATATATTTAAACTGACATACTCCTTTTTCCTATGAAAATGTATACAATGAAGAAAGAAAATTATTTTATGAATTTTACATGTCCTACTTTACAATAGGTATGCATGAAAAACATTTTCATTTATAGCCATCAGAAGAACTAATGTAAACCTTCATATGATGACCCCAGTCCTCCATATGAGTAAGCCAATAGATTAAATACATCTTTTCAAGTAATATTTTAAATGTGATGAGATGCTTGCAGAATGGCTTGTCCTCATTTAAATCAGTGGCTCTATTCCACTGCTTCATGGGACCAAGATTTTCAAGACCAGTCTTAGTACATCTGTATGTACAGTAAGGTGATTATTAATAATTTGAATACTATTATATAATTCCTTTTAAATAATACACCTCAGAAAAAGTATTGTCATAGTTACTTTTAAGACTGTGAAAACAAATGACTACTCAAATGTCTTTGAAAACAATGCCAGATGATAATCTTTCCCTGTCAGTAGGGTTCTATGTCCAGACTATTGTTATCCATTGCCTAGATACATGCTTTTATTCTCTTGCTATACTCACAGTACTCTTCAAAATTGAGGAAGGTTTTGGGGTTGGTTTGTTTGGAGTCTTTTTGGGTTTTGGAGGGGGATCTTTGTAGGATTAGAGGGGGGCAGTGTTGTTAGTGTTGTGGTTAGTTGATTTGGTTTGGGGTTTTTTCGCAAAAAGGGAACAAGGAGACAACAATGAGTTTATTCATCCAACTCTTGAGGTTGGGTGAATACCAAGAAAAGGCTTGGTGCTTCAGAAAGTTGAGCATGAATGCTGAGGGCTGCTCACTCCCTCTGGAAATCAAACCTAACATCATCTCTGGTTTGGCAGGGTAACACAAAATGGCCAAATCAAAGGCTGTTATTCCGTATTCCCTCTATACAGTTATTACAATGTTATCATGCTATTTATTTTAAATGTGCTATGATTTGTATAATGTCCTGACATTAGATATCTGGCATACTCATGATGGTAGGTCATTATATTATTTTAGTGTAAACTAAAACTATAGTCATGGTTGAAGTTACAGGTGTTGTATTGTTGGGGCTTGAATTGTTCCCTTTTCTTTCTGTGGAATTTTTCCCATTGTTATGCTAAGTATTTATGGCTACACCTTAGTAGCAATAGTTTTCTCTCGCAGGGGGGTGGGGGACAGGGGGACACCAGAAAGGGAAAGGTGGGACAGGGGCCTGGGCTCTCTCTCTTATTCTTGTTTCGCACATGGAGTGCAAGGAGAACAGCCCGTGCTCCGATCCAGCATCTTCCCCGCGAGATCCACGTTCCCTGCTCTCGGACACCGCTCTGCTGCTCTCCCACCTCATCCTCCTGCCTCCGGCCACTCTGCCAAGCACCACGACCGACACCGTGAGGGGGGAGCGGCTCCTCCATCCCTCTCAGCCCTGGGCGCTGCCGCCATCACCCAGCGCCTTCAGCTGCGCGGGGCCTGCCCTGCCCCCAGCACCGGGAACTGAGCGCAGGGAGAGAGGCCTTGGCCAAAGGGACTGGAACTGAGCTACACTGCTCTGGTCTGTTGTCAGTTTTTATAGCTGTTGTTGTTTCTGCTGTTTGCCTTGTTAGATATCAGTAAAGAACTGTTATTCCTATCCCCATATCTTCTGCCTGAAAGCCCCTGATTTGAAACTATAATAATTAGAAGGGAGGGGGTTGCACTCTGCATCTCAGGAAAGGGGTTCTCGCCTTTCCTTAGCAAATACCTGTCTTTCAAACCGAGACATGTATGAAGGACATACAAGTGATATTCAACTTTATTTAAAAAATACGGAACAAATGCACTATTGTTATCCCACAAAGCACATTTTACAGTAAATGAGGAGCAATGTAATTTCCATTAAAATTTGGAACTAAGGTAACTAAAAATGTCACTGATAACAATTCTGTTGTAAAGTGGGAAAAAAGCACCATATTCTTAAATACAAGCATTTTTACATTCATAAAAATTCAAGACTTTTCATTTTGGTAGAGCACTTCAAAAAAATACAAATTTGTAGTTTAAATTGCATCATAATCATTCTATCTACACTTTGAATGCTCAGCAGCATACAACACAAATAATCACTAAAATGTACATACAAACAAAAAGAAAAGATGGATATGAATGCTAATGTCCTTTAAAATGGTGCACATGTAATTGTTTTTAAAGATACGTAACACATATTTCATGCTTTACTTTCTGGTATCACAAAAGAAAAAAGCTCCCCTAAATATTCAAATCCTTATATTCTGACTGCAACTAAACTTGGTGAATCTGGAGTTGACCTCACACAAGGCTCATGAAAACATACAAAAACAACAGAATTTGTCCAACTGTCAATAAAAAATATATATACACACATACAGTTCTTTGTAACGCATATCTGCATGTCTATGCACAGAAATCCTTCAACTTAGCTCATGTTAAGGAGTTTGATTTCTAAGATGAAATAGAAAATAGATCAGCACCTGGTAAAGGTATTATATTTAGCTTTGAAAAGGTCCAACTATTAAAAATGCAGAGGTCCTCAAAACATATACCAGAAAGAAGTACTAAAGGTACAGGAAATTAAAAACAAACACAAAGATCTTATACTATATGAAATACCACCCACTCTTTCTGTAAAATTTATATTTGCTTAACACTGAGTAACCTCAATGCCTTCAGCGAACATACTGCAATTCATACAGACTTTCCAGCGTGTCTAGGAAGAGTTAGAGCCCAAGAGCATTAAAAAGGTGCTTTCACTTTCTTTTTTATGCACTCAAGTAAGACATACCAGCCTTCTTGTGAATTAAATTTCTACTGTAAAAAATGTGCCTCAGTGTCAAAAGCCTCATATCC